TTCGGTTCGATCATTCTTGGAACTGAACGTACTCTCGAGACTCTCCACGTTACAACTCGCGATGCACTCGACGATATACTTAACGATGCACGCTCTTGATACAGTAACAAGGCACCTCCACACTAGACTGATAATCAACTCAATAAACTACGAGACACTCGATAGACTACGAAACACTACTCCGCATACCAGCAGGGTTTATATAGCTTTTGGAGTTTATATTGCCTTCGAGACATCCTGGGCCAAACCGGTAAGAATTCGTTCTAGAAGGTTCTAGAAGGTTTCTCCATCCGTCTATGTCATATCGCCAAGTTTGTCGCCAAATGGACGATTTCGCGCCAAATCCGATAAACTTGCCTTCCTTTGCCATTTTCTGGTAACCCTAACCTGTAACCTGTTTTGCGGGGAAGCTATCTTACCGCGTCACTTCGAGAAAGCCTAAAATGGGAAAGGTTGAAATGGGGCATCGCGATTGAAAATAGCAAATCTAAATGGTTAGGGGGTTGCTGTGATACTGTTCCATAGTAAAATAAACAAACTTTTTTTTTGGTAATATGTGAAGACTTGTATGGTTATTTAATAAAGAAAAGACTGTGCTTGAAGACTTAATTTTGCTTTTTTTTTTTTCCTCTGGATTGACTGCACGCGAAACTTGCAGAAAATATTTCAAGTGGCAATGCTTTTTTATTTTGCCAAGATAGGAAATCTGCGAACCGAAAACAAGAAATACTTCAACGGAATAATTTAACCCTTGCTAAAGACAAACTGGGTTATAGTGATCCCACGGATCCCACTGTATGAAAATCAAATTAGAGCAATATTACATTATTTGCCTATATGAATTTCCTTTGCACTCAGAAAGAAAGTCTTGATTCCCTTTAAAATAGTTGTTTACCAGTTCTATCGTCTTTTTATTCGACTTTATTAGCGTCGGAAATCTCTATCAACTTTAATTTCTTTTTTTCAATGTCCGTTTCGCTCCATCGCCATAAAAGTTCACTGGATACGTACATTGAGGTGTATTTCATTTTCTTTTCTTTATTGTCCATTAGTAACCAAACAGAAAATTTGTTTTAAACAGTTTTGTTATTTATACGAGTCAGACGGATATGTTGTATAAAATGAATGTTTTTTCCTTGGATATCTGAAACTCGATTATTATTGGAATAAGTTGCGGTTATTGGGTTAATTGTGTATTAAAGATGTGGTTAAATATTCAACTGACTGTTGAAAACGCGTGTTTGAATCCCCCCTTTTTTTCAATAAATGTATTGGCAGAATTTTCGATGTATACTGCAGTTTGAAAGTATTAGTAGACAAATTATGTAGCTTGGAAATATATATTTGCGCCATGTTTCAAATGCAGTCGCTTTGAACGGTGTAGTAAATTAGCGAAGGCTGACTGCTAGTTCAAATTCCTGAATTGTTGCTGTTTCTGTGACTGCATCAGTGGCTGACTGGTTAAAAACCTCTGAATGTTCGATCCACGCGAATGATCTGGCTGCATTGTTGGTTTTCGTGGTTTTCTCCGTATGTGACAAGAATACAGGCTAGTTTGACTTAGAAAGCATCCCTTCTTGGGCAACTAGCTCTCGTAGGCGTTGTTATACTGAAGTAACCTAATCTACCATCGTTCTTTTTCTGTACCCTTTCCCTCTTCTTGCGAGTGTAATATCGGTCGTATCCTTTGATGCTCCCTGGACAACGCTGTCCGTGATAAGACGGGTAAATGACTGATATATTCAGTCTTTCCTGACGCTAAGTTGCGAGTGTCCTGATATTTGGTTAAAATAAAAGATACGAACGCACAAAATTTATGCAGATGTTACTCTGTACTACGACAAAACAAACAGATATGTGAAACAAAATGTTAACAATCAATCAAGAAAATAGTGCACAAATGTTTACTGATATCTTAAATGCCATTTGGAGCCAGAGAACACTTAAGAAACATTTTTACACTTAAAAAAATTTCGAAACGTGATCTCACCTTACTTCTGTTATTTACGTTTCAGCTCATTGTGACCTTAACTACTCTTGATGTGTTCGATCTTTCGAAATCCAGCTCTTTATCCCCCTTCTCCTTCCTTCCTCTGATATCCCTCTTAGAAATTGCGGCCATGATTCATTCATGTAAGATGCTCTTGTAGTTTTACGAGGTAGTTGAGCCGCATGACGTGTCTGACTCAATCATCGTCAGATATTGGCTCAATATCCTTCAGATATTGTAATGTTGACATTGCTTTGTGTTCTTAATGAAATGTACCTTTTAAAGGAATAATATTGTGATAGCTATTAGTGGTTAATTCATGACCGCTTCTCATTTCTTATGAGACCTGCGTTTTTTAGGTTTTTAGTTTGATTTATATTAATTATGGCAAAGCATTCGAGGGCTATCTACCTGAGAGTGGGGATTGCCTTCGTGGATTACTTCTAAGGGAAACTGGCCTGTATACACGTCGGGAAAACCATGAAAATGTTTATGCAGCCAGCCTGTTCGGCGGGACTCGAATCCCGGACCGAACTACCAGTGTTCAGGGTCTTTACCGCTCGGCCGCTGTTGGACGTGCGTTCTTTCGAAATTTAATTATTCACTTAATTTTCCTGTTTCAATTTTCGGACGCTTAAATTAGCTAAAAATTGGAATAGCAAATGGTATCCTATCGACTACGCTCATCGTGTTATTAGTATAAAGTTATACATGCATTGTTATTGCATGAATCTTTCTGGTACCTGTAAATACTTCTTTCACATTGTCTTTTCATTTCTGATTTCTTGTGTTAATGATTTTTCATATCTACAGTATTGTAAGCAATATTTATGAATTATTTGTGTCATTACCAACGTCATCAGATTTATGATATCAATGATTGCGGTGTAATAGTGCTATAAAATATATCTTCTCTTTACTGATAATCTTCTCTTTCTTCCCTTTCCCCGAAATCGGATTGCATAAAAAATTTCTAAGACATAATTAAATATTTGATTACTATTGGAAGAGAGGAAAAAAACTTACTTTTCCATCAAGACAAACATTTATTGAATCTCTTCATATCTTGCTTTTTTGAATTTCTGATAAAGTTGTTTTGATATTGGTATTAATAGTTTAATAACAGTTTTTGTTGTTGATTTACAATCACTCAAGAAAGTTATTAAAAGAGGTAAAAAAAAACACTTTTAATAGAATTTAAGTTCTTTGATCTTTCAAAAATCAGGGAAGGACTTCCCGTTTGTCTTAAAATGAACAAATGGAAAGATAAAAGCTAACTTTTATCTTTCCATTTGTGGAAAGATAAAAGCTATTTTCTTATCTGACCGTGGGTTTTAGTAAAAAATAAATATTTCTAAACTATTCAATAATATTAATCTTCGTTATATTTTTTCCTCTATAAACCTTTCTGATTCTTTGTAATGGATCAGTTAAGTTTACCCCTTTTATTATTATTTTCACTTACATAGTTTCAATGTTAATTGTAACATTAATTAATTTCGTCAATCAATGGATACCTATATAATAAACTACTCGTCAGTGTTTGTTTTCGTAAAGATTTTAATCGGATAAATTACATAATTAAATTAATTTTTGAAAAGGATATTTATATTTTTATTTTTCAAATTTCCGTTTACTATATTTAGAATCGCTCGACTAGTCATCATTCTGTATGCTTTGCAATCAAAATGCATATCTTTCATTGTATGGTGATGGTAACTAAGTATTATATCGATGGCACAAAAGATTGTAAAATTTATCATTTGAAATCTTCTGGCTTTGTTTAAAGCCGACATTCCATCGTACAAATCATTAAAGCGTATGGCCATTATTGTGCCTGTGCGAAAGCTAGGAATACTTTATCAACTTGCCTCATCCATCTCTTCAAGCTGTTATCATGACCTCTGAAGGAAAAATTGCTTGCGGATGTGTTGATTGCTTTTTGAATGGCTTTGTGTAGCTGTCGGTTATTAATGCGATATTATAGAAAATACGGTTCTCTCTGGTTTTATGGAAATGAGGAAGAAGGTTCGTAGCATTGTTCTACGTATAAATAACGTTATTATCACTCGCTGTCTATTGATTACTATTGTTCGATGATTGGAATGATGGAACCAAGGATTTCAACAATGCAATGAAGAAAATTTTATCAAATGCAGAATGTTAATATTTAGTAGGCTTGGATGGAGAATTAATTATAGTAAAATATGACTTCTTTACCCCGTAAAGTGATCATTTAATAATGTTAAAAGTTTTTAATTTTTTTTTTTCTTTTACACTATGGGATGAGATCATGATGGAGCTATGAAACCTCAGATTCGGAATTTTCATTATGTTCATGCTTTTGACTAATTAGAAGTTGAAGATTGTTTTAGATATTGAACGTTCAATAAATTAAAATGGCTTATCTATGGCATTGTAATTTTTATTAAATTAATTTTTATTATTAACTTAATTTATTATTATTATTATTTTAATTAACGTTTGATATTGTCTAATATTGTTTTAAATATTAATTATTGTACGGTTTATTTAAGTTGGTTTCTCTGTTTATTACTCTGTTGTTTGAAACAAAACAATTTTCAAAAAAGATCAGTTTTTGACTTATACCCAAGTGATTGTATTGAAATTTTACATATATATATTTTTATGTCAATACCGTATTTCACAGGTTTTTCCCCCTTTAATTTGATGTAGTTTTTTTTATTTAATATTGAAGTGATTTTTTTTTAAAATTTAATGGTCAAACTAACTAATCGTCATAGAATTTTATACTTTGTATCTTCGAATAAATCGGAAAATAGTCTTTCAAACGAAGCAGCTTGAAATCTCTAACGTGATTTAGCGAATTTCACAATAGTGCCTGTTAATAATAATCATGGGATGCTATTAATAATGATCATAATCTACTGTGGATTTTTAAATCAAAAATTTCAAAGAGAGAAAGTATATTTAGATTAAAAGTTTTATTTTATGATTGTAATGATTCTATTGATTTTATTAATTTCAGATGGTATTTTGGAAAAATAAAGAGGATAGAAGCTGAGAAAAAGTTACTTCTACCTGAAAATGAACATGGAGCTTTCTTAATCCGAGACAGTGAAAGCAGAAGAAATGATTTTTCTCTTTCTGGTATGTAAAAGCCATAAAGTATTTTTTTAAATTTTGGATTTATTTAAATGTGTCAGTACATTTGCTTTATTTTTATCTATTTTTACTCTTCTACGTTTAAGCTACAAACAGAGAAAATGACCTGAGATAACAATTTTTAAAATTTAAATGTAATATGAAATTGCTTTGAAAAGTATTATTTATTTTATTTAGAACCAATACTAATGGAGAGTTATAAATTTTCTTATCATTTTGGTTATTATAAAATCGTTTAACAGTCCAAATATTAACTGCTTATCACCGCCATTAATTTTTGTTTCTGTTAAAACGTAGTTCAGATATTCTAGTAGTTTAGATGTTTTCCTATTAAAACCTAGTTTAGAAGAAAAAAGGAATTAAGTTATTCTAAAAGTAATAGTTTAAATTTCATGTTACTTTTCGATGTAATTGGAGGTAACATTTTCTGCCTAAGAAAATTATCTGATATTTTGCAAATTTTAAGAGAATAAATACCATTTAAAAAATTAATATGTGAGCTTTTGTTAAAAAATTTTATATTTTACTATTCGATCTTTAACTTTATATTTGTGAATTGAGAAACTTAATGTATGTGCTTTTCATCTAATTAAAACCATAAATTTTAATCACATGTAATACTTATCATAGAATTCTTTTCATTTACTAGCCCAGAAGGGCTATAAGTCTCGAAATGGCATTTTGCATTGAATCACTTAAAGCGTTGTATTCACTTTTCAAATTCTTGCCCCCAAATATTATCGCCTTATATTATATTTACAGAAATTAAGCAATGAAGAATCTGCATGAATGTATGTATATTTCTTACACTGTGAAAAAAGAAAGGTATCTACATTCTCCACCCAAATATGAGCACCTGAAAACCCGAATTTGGAATTTGTTTCATTGTCTATTTCGTATTTGGAAAACATTAACGAATTTTTCTAAGCAAACTCAAAGATTTCAAAGCGAGCAGGGGCAATACTGTACGGAAAAAAACATTTTTATCTCCAGCGCGCGAGACTGTGTATTGGAAATTCTAAAGGTTTGCTGTTTTTAAATATTTTTAGCCCAAGGTGGCATTAATCCAAATGCTCTCAAAACGTGTGTCTGTGTGTGAAAAACGCTCCTTTGGGCATAATATAAAATCCGAAAGCTTTCGATTTTTTTATAATTATTTATTTTTCTTTAAATTATTAAATTACGTAGAATATGCATTATATGTTTATTATAACGAAAGGGCACAAATTCTATGTGTGTTCTTTATAATCACTGATAAATAATATTATGATGGGTAAATTGTGCATGATTATTGAATTTCTGGTAATGAATTTCCTGTTCTGTAAGATTCCATTTTTATAGTTTTGCTGTAGAGAGAGTTTGAGTATTAGTCTTTTTTCTTATGTTGTCCTCTAAGCAGTTATACATTTAAATTTAAAACTACACTAGAGTAGGAATCCTTTTTACACTCATGTCCATAAATTAAGGGTAATGCAAAATCAGGCAAAGGAAGAGTTAGAAGCAAAGCAAATTTGACTTATTTGTAAAGCTTATTTATTAAACAAAAGGTAAAGAGCAAAAAAAAGATGCTATATGTTTGATATTATTTAAAAAAAATTAGCGATTTTTTCCTCCAAAAGTTACCAAAAAAAAAAAACTATTTACAAAAAACCAATATTACATGGTTGGTATGATTGTTAATACATTGTATGTCTCCCAGACGATGCAACACTGTCCATACAACGCCTAGGCATGCTGAGTATCAGATTATCGATCTGATCTTGGGGGATATTACACCACTCAAAAAGCAATGCTCTCCGAAGTTCCGGTAGACATGTAGGAGGAGGTTGACGGGCTGCAACTCGTCGCCAAGCATGTCCCACACGTGCCCTACTGGATTCAAGTCAGGTAAGAATGCTGGCCCGTCCATACGGGTGATATCCTCCGATTGAAGGCATTCGCTTACGATGTTTGCACGGTGAGGACGGGCGTTATTATCCATGAACACAAATTGTGCGCCCATGGCGCACCGAAACAAACGTACATGTTGTTCCAGAATGACGTCCCGATAGATTTGGCTTGTCATGGTTCCAATTTGAACATGCAGGTCAGTTCTGGAACCCAGAATAATTCCACCCCAAACGAGCACTCCTGCACCACCGTAACGGTGTCGTTCAATGATGTTTTCTTGGTGGTAACGGGTACCTGAAGCTCTCCATATGAAAGTCCGGCGAGAATCAGACTGCAAGCTAAACCTGGACTCGTCGGAAAACATCACACAAGCCCACTGTTGCGGTGTCCACAATGCATGCTCTCTACTCCAGGCTAACCGCAGGCGACAGTGAGTTGCCGTAAGTGGAACACATCTGACTGGTCTACGAGCATATAGACCAATCTGCCCTAAGCGTCTGTACACGGTCTGCCTTGAAATTGTCGTAGGGGTGGCTGAAGAGAGCTGACGAGACAGGTCTGAGGCTGTGCTCTGCCTGTTTCTTTTGGCAGTAACTGCCAAATACCGGTCCTCATTCGGCGTTGTAACTCTGGGGCGACCTGTGCTGTAACGTCTACTCACATTACCATCATCTTGGAATCGTTGCCAAAGCCTGGAGATCCCACTCTGGGCAATTCCAAGTTCGTCTGATACTTCCAGTTGGGTACGCCCACATTCCAGACGGCCGATAATGCTACCACGTAAAAAATCATCCAAATGCGTCCTTTGTGTCATAACTATTCGGTTATTGCACTGAAATGCTTATAAAGCGCCTGCGAACAATTTTACTTCTTTGCCCGCATTCCTTATATATCACTCTCGTCATTGCGACGTACCATCGGTGTCATCTGGTTACTTCCTGAAATTTGCATATGATTCTTGAAGATGTGCGTAGTGATTTTACAGGTGATATGTTTATTTTAGAGTTCGATTTCCGCGTGACTCCGAATTATCCTTAATTAATGGACATGAGTGTAATTATTTTCTCTTTTAAATTATTAAAACAAAACGGGTATTATTACTTTCAAAGTAAATTTTAAATATTCTGATTTGCATTTCAGTGCGTGATGGAGATACAGTAAAACATTACAGAATTCGACAACTAGATGAAGGTGGTTTCTTCATAGCCAGAAGAACTGCATTTCGAACATTGCAAGAACTAGTTGAGCATTATACTAAAGATGCTGATGGTCTTTGTGTAAATTTACGAAAACCATGCATTCAGGTTTGTACTGATGAAGTTGTATATACGTAAAATATCTATCTATATTTTTCTTTAAATTTCTACAAGTAATATCCAAAATCTATGTGAAATTGCTTTTCTTAGAACCAGAAGATATTTTCTAGCTTGAATAAAGGACGCTAATATCTTATTATCTATTATGTTTCGAACATGATTTTTGACAAAAGCAGTTTAACATATCCTACATTCCATTTTACCTTCTTCATAATTATGAACTAATTATTTTGTTGATAAAATAAGTTTTTTTTTAAAAAAAAAAGATCTTTTGATGAATCTTCATAATTACATGTATTACCAAGAATCAAATATGGCTTCTGAATAATAATTTACGTATTTTCTAAATTACTTTGATTGAGATTAGTTTGTCGTCAATATATCTTCATAATTCAGAAAATTCACTTCATTATTTCAATTTTATGTTTATGTAACTGTTATAAGGTGTTTATATAAGTTACTTTTAAATATTAAAAGAGCAGCATAACAGAGTTTCAATAAGTACTTAAAAAATTCGAAGTGTTAAATCATTAGTAATAACTAGGCTTTCTGTGTGCTTTAATATATCTGTGGTAAAAAGAAGATTATGGCAGCTCATTGGCAACATACTTCTTTTAAACATAATTATTATGAAATTTTATAGGCAGATTAATGTTTTAAGTTCAATAATAGGTATCCCTGCACCATAATTGAAAATATTGTTACAGATTTTGTATTTAGTTGGCTATTTTTGGTAGAATTGTAATTAAAATTGTTTTATTCCTTCCCCTGTAATGCAACGCGTGACGATTTTTAAGAGAAAGCTACGCTGAAAAAGTAAAAATACAGGAGTATTCACATGTAATGAATAGATATCTCGTAATTTGTATTTAAATTGAATAGTGCAATTGTGTGTTAACTGTAACTGTAATTGTACTCTTTTGCTTTCCAGAAACCTTGAGAAAATAAAAATTACCAGAATGTTCTCGTGCATTATTAAAAAGCTTTATAAAGCCAGAGAAAAACATCTCTGTTCAGTTTGTTTACTTATTTATTGTTGTTGACTGTAGCGAATTTGCGGTGAGATCGGATTAGCTTTCTCTGCACTTCGAATTGTGTTCTATTTAACGTTTTAATAGTTTAAAATATAACTACTGTGTGTTATTGTGATATTGTACGAATATCAGTGATGAAAAATTTCAGCATTTTGTTTTATTTCTTATGATAAGAATAATTTCTTTTAACTTTTCATCGGACTTGTGCATTCAATCTATCACGAACCCGTACACATGCAACAACATATTTACAATCATATTGTGTAAATTTATTTGTTTGTTTGTTGTTTTATTTTAAGTTTTTGTAATAAAAATATGCAAAACTTTTCGTGATATTCATTTTTACAGTTACAATAAAAGCTCGACTATGCATACTATCAATGTTTATTAAAGGAGAAAATAAAGAATCCTAGCCCAAATGTATGCATAAACAATATAGCCAGAATTTTCACACATTAAAAGTGATATTTAGAAATATATATGCCCATGTATTATTTGAATTAGTGTTTCATATAAATGTATTTCCCTGCAACCATTTCTGTATGATAATTTATGTGTTTAATTTACTTCTCGCTCTTCTGTATTCCTATTTGTCATATAATTGTTTTTAAAACAAATTAATGTTAAAACAGGTTGAGAAACCTACTACTGGGGGCTTATCCCACAACACAAGAGATCACTGGGAGATAGACAGAAGCTCACTTAATTTTGTTCGAAAATTGGGACAAGGCCAATTTGGAGAAGTCTGGGAAGGACTTTGGAACAATACAACTCCAGTAGCTATAAAAACTTTGAAAACAGGTAAATATAAATTTCTGTTTAGTGGCATATATCCATTTTAAGTGAAAACATTGGTGAATAATAATCAGATCGGGGTTACTGCATAAATTCAGCCGTATGTCTCAAATAGGGAATCTCAAAATTACCACTAATATTGGCATCTTTCAGTGTTAGCACAATTATTATATTTGAGATAAAAAGAAATGGGTTGAATAAGTATCATTAAACGTGTTTGAGATATGTTAATAAAAAAAAGAAGTATTTGTATCATGAAGGATGCTTTTGGCAAAATTTTAATTAAACTAACTATTTTATTACATATAGTATATTTTCCTGCTTAGAATAAAAAAAAAAGCTGGTTATGAACACTTAAAATAGCTTACTTTTTAGAGTTATGAAATATTTTCATTATCATTGTCTATATCATGATCATCATTACTTCTAAATGGTATATCTTTTTGTTGGATATAAAAACAAAATTATTTGTTGAAGAAATTAATAACTGAATAAACTGATATCAAATTCTTAAAATACAGTTAAGAGGAAAGCAGTACTATCATCATAATTATTCAATGATCATCTTCAATATGAAAAATAGTTTGTTACAGGGAAGCTTTTTTTTTAATGGTATGATTTTTTATTTATTTTTTTTTTTTTTTATTAATTTTTATGGTTGGGCATTTTACAAAGTTTTTGACAAAATTAAAAGGTTGAGTTCAGGTAGTCTTAGTATAAATAATATTGTTATGAGATGCCCAGCCCCAGTAAGATAGCTTCCCAGCAAGGTGGCTTTATGGTCACCAAATATGGCAGCCTAGCCTTCCCTTGTCATTTTCAGGCAACATTAAACCTGCCTTGAGGGGAAGCTATCTTAGTGTGGCTGGGCATTTTATAACACTTTCGATCAAGCAAAATTCCACTTCTGACACCAGTTGTGTTCTATGGGTTCATGGTTTTGGGTGATTAATGACAACACTTAATAAAGAAACAAAACACACTTTATTTAGGCAGTATTCCTCAGGACAGTTCAAAAATCACGTTTACAGTCATCGAGAAACTGCGACAAACATACTGAAATAATCAGCAACACAGCCTGCAGGCTATCAGGCTATAGCAGTGAAGACAACTTCATGGCAAAACACTAAAGTACAGCTCCCGACTCAGTCAATTGCTTTCAGAGCTCAACACACTCGAGATAAAACCTGGCAATACACTACTGCTCCATGTACAGGCAGGGTTTATATAGCTTTTGATATTTTGATATGCCTTTGAGAACATTCTGGGGTAAACCGTAAAGAATTCATTCTAGAATGTTCCCTAACCACAAACCCACAGAACACAACAATATATTTAAGTATAGATACAGTTTATTATTCATTTTAAATATTTGGTATATCCGTTCTCTTACATGTGTCATTAGCATCAGAAATACTAAAATTAATTCTAAATTTTAATATTTTGTTTATCATTATTTTCATTATAATTACTATCAATGTCCCCATAAATTTATCCGTCAGTTTTTCATATTTCTTTTCCACTTTTTTTATGGTGATTTAAGAAGTATATGAAAATTTTTAATTATGTGAATACTTCTTAAAATATAAGAGTTTTTACATTTTTAAAATGCTAGTGGTATTTATATTTGTTTATATAGTTTGTTATATATTTGTTTTATATAGTGTAATGAGTTTTACGGAGAAATGTTGATATTTCATATGAGTCACATTTCTAATAACTGGAAATAAGCTGTTATTATCAAGGGGAAATTTTTTAATTTATTTATTTACAAATATATTGATCAGTGTAATTCTAATATCTGAAATTCTTAGAATAAAAAAGTGAAAGGTAAAATTGCAATTATTACATTTTACATGCAAAATAGGACATAAATTAATAATTTTCTTAAAATAATTATTATTTCTTAAATATGATTGCTGAATCTTTTTCTTTTAACCTGCAGTGAAATTGATATTCTAATTATCACATGTGAAAATGATGTTAAATACTGAAACTTGAATAAAAGTACTTTCTTATATTCACAAACAAAAACTAAATAAAAGGCTAATCGCATTCCTTCCTGAAACTGTGAAATTCCCCCCTGGTTGAGAACCCCTGATATAGTAGTAATAAAAATGGATATTCAAAACTAATTTTTGCATAAAATCTCATCATGCATTTATTTATCAGTATCACTAATATTTAATATTCAATGAACAGGCACAATGGATCCTAAAGACTTCTTGGCTGAAGCACAGATAATGAAAAAGTTGAGGCATCCCAAACTGGTTCAACTTTATGCAGTATGTACTTTGGAAGAACCTATATATATTATCACAGAATTAATGAAGCATGGCAGCCTACTAGAGTATCTTCAAGGTAGACTACTGTTTAAAAAAGTGTTTTTCATGTGACAGTTACTGTGTTGTAAATATTAATGATGCCCTTCATTTCTCCTGCATATTTTATATCTAGTTTATCTTCTTGCTATATATTATTTATCTTTTTTATTAGGCAAAGCAAGGGCACTAAAACTACCGCAATTAATTGATATGGCTAGCCAAATAGCATCAGGAATGGCATATCTTGAATCTCAGAATTACATTCATAGAGATTTAGCTGCACGAAATATTCTTGTTGGAGAAAATAATGTGGTTAAAATTGCTGATTTTGGTTTAGCTCGATTAATAAAGGTGTGTATAAAACAGTCCTTCTAAAATTTGCATTTTTGCTTTTAATTATATAAGACACAATTATCCAAAAGAAACTTTAATGTTCATTCTTTCCTTTTTTACAATTATTATTTGTTGGTATTAATTTAATTATTCAGTAATTTGTTATCTAGGAGGATGAGTATGAGGCTCGTGTTGGTGCTAGATTTCCCATTAAGTGGACTGCGCCAGAAGCAGCTAACTACAGTAAATTTTCAATAAAATCTGATGTTTGGTCATTTGGAATATTACTTACTGAGTTAGTAACATATGGCAGGATACCTTATCCAGGTATATTGGATTATTATTTTATTTTCATTTTGTATCTCGTTTATAAAGTGACCTTTTTTGTCGTTGCAAATGTTGTCGGCTTCTATTTATTTTCTATGTTATGTCAAATATGTTTGAAATCTTAAATATTTATTTATCTACACTATTCATTAAATGGAAAACTATCTTTTTTTTCATTCAAGTTAATCTAATATTAATTATAATGGTGATTTATAACCTATACTATTTAGTCTACTACTAAGCAAAACTAGTTTTTGTGACAGTCACATTATTTTTAGTAACTTACATTTAATTTTCTTCGTGTAATTTGCAATGCTTATCATTTTTACTACTCTACTAGCCTTAAATAATAGGTATCTTTTTTCCTCTTAAAATGGCCTTTACATTGCTGCATATATGAAAATCACATTTGTTTCGTATATTTTATTAGGCAAAGCAGTGTTCGTATATTTTATTAGGCAAATATGTTGACATAATTTTTCATTTATTTGTTAATTTTTAAGCTTAACTCTTTTGCAACCATTTACCAAAGAGTTCAGATCGACTGGTTCATTTGCAAGGAATTCTTCTTCATCTGTATATTGGCAGCTAAGAACTCCTAAACTTTAGTCTGAGTCAATTTATGCATGCTAAAAAATGGCAGTAAGATATGTATAACCCTTTAAAAAAACCCACTGGGGTACATGTGTCCCACAAGTATGCATTGCCTTTTACCTGTTACAAATATATATTTCAATAGAGTAGTTTATCACAATAATAAATGAAAACATTTACCTTTAAAAATAGCAGAATTTTATGTTCTTCCAAAAGGCAGTAACTCTCAAACTAGGCACATGTAGCAGTGATAACACGGGGTATGAGGTATGATAAGTCAAATATATAAAAATTGTCAGTAAAGCATCATTGTATTATATAACAACATAAACAGAGCATAACAACATAACTTCTTTGCCCCACTGGGACATATAAATCCTATTAGGCCTAAAATGTTTAAAGAAGATGCATATTCCTTATGCATTCTAATTTAGACCATTTCATAACCTTCCTTATTAAACATTTCAATATATCAATCCGCTACATTTAGGAATTCATCCTAAATGCAAACCCCTTTAACTAATAATTTTCAAACCAAAACTTGAAAAGATTAGAATCATCTTATTTATATGCAGGTACCTAGTATAATGAGGCAAATATAATAGTTGATGAAAAATAAAGAAATAAAAAAGTCATTCTTAAGAGCTTTTTTCCTATTAAGGTAACAAATTAAAAGCAGATTTTTTTATAGTAACTCTGCATCAGTAGAAAGGGTCATTCAGAAAAGGTTCTAAATTTTTTTTAGTCATATAGGTGACAAACATTTCAAAAATATGTTAGCATGATTTATCACATTTTTAATTTTTAAGTTTAACCATTTCAGATCCAGTTACAAAGAGTCCAAACCTGCAAATAATTCTATAGATTACTAGAAGAAAGTTTTAAAGAAAAATCTATTTTAGATTCTCTAAATATTTGAATCATAATGTAGAATGCAAAGAAATGTTTTTCCAAGTGTTCGTTTTCCCCTTATGTACTTGAAATGGCATGGAATTGCTTCTTATTATAATGTGGATATCATTAAAATTATTATTATAATAGCTTGTTTAGATATGGTTTAATGATATCTTGAGGATAGGTCTAACTTAGAATGTAACAATGAAGACATTGGCCATTTTTGTGGTATAAAATTAATGATTTTAATTTGAATGGTGCAAAGTTACCAAGTTCGAATATTTTAGGAATAAACTTTTTTCTACTAATGTACAAAAATAGTCAGACTAGGATTTTTATTATATATATCATGGCTGTTATATCAAAATTTCTTAAATATTTACACTAAAATAAAAGCTAGTGGAATGAAATTTTAACAGGGAGCTTTAAAATGAAATCTAGGTCAATCCCCTTTTAGAAGATATTCATGCAGCTAAATATTTTATTAATTATCAGGGAATATCTATTAAGTGAGAATTCATTAGTTTTCTGTTCCTACAGCTCAGGTATCCATGAACTGTTTATTAGTAGAGTTCTGTTAAGATGAAGTGTCAGTTTAATAGCTGTTTGATCATAATTACAATGCCAGTTTCTGTAGCACACTTTGAGAAACAAGAGTCAAAAATATTATTTGGAGAATGTTTTCTGGGTGAGAACCTTCTAATAGTATTCTGCATCTTTTTTCATACTGATGGGTACTGAGATTTTAGTGGCAATAAACATGCTTTATTTCATCTTGTTCTCTAGTAAGTACAGTGTCTGGAATAGGCCAGATGTGATATGCTTGAATGGAAGCAAAGGTATCAAATTATCTATTAATAAAAGTAGCCAGTCCATGATAAGTAAAAAGTTGTTTTAATATTTTATCTCCACATAAATTAATTTAATTTTTGATGCACTGATATAGCTTTTCACAATTAAGATTTCTAGTTATGTCATTATTTTTCACGAATAGGGCACTTTTGACTACTATATAAATTTAAATTACAGATGAAGATGGAAAAGTATTTTCACAAAGAGATTGCAATGAAGAGAACTTAATGTATTGACACATTCACTTTTCTTCTTAAACAAAGAGAATTTAAATAAATCTTATCAATCCATTTAAATATTTATATCATATAGTAACTTGAATTCTCTTCACAGTAAGTATGAATAACTATTGTGTAAGAGAAACCTTTATGCCTATTTTGAGTATTAAATGAAATATGTATACTATTTAATAAACATATTTATGTATGTTGAAAATGGCATGAAATTCTTGCTAGCATCTAAATAATATTGAAAAGTAAACAAATTTTATTATATTTCTGATAAATAACAGACTTGTTTGTAGTACGAGATTGCTACATTTTCATCCAGTCAGTGACAAAAGTGATAAAATTTCTATGTGAACCTTCCTTCAAATTATGTGTTTATTCTTTGAAAAACATTCTTTGCATACTTTCTTTTAAAACTGTTTTCTGATAAAATTTCTTTTTAGGTATGACAAATGCTGAAGTCCTCCACCAAGTAGAACATGGCTACAGAATGCCATGCCCTCCTGGTTGCCCACCTGCTTTGTACGAAATCATGCTTGAGACGTGGCACAAAGATCCTATGAAGCGGCCAACATTTGAAACTCTGCAGTGGAAACTGGAAGACTTCTTTACCTTAGAAGGTTCTGAGTATAAGGAAGCTTCCATTGCCTACTGAACAGATCTGATAATGTATGGAGATGCGTAATTTTATTATTGCATATCACAATGCAATACCGTTATACTGTTCTGTTAAGTAATCCTCCCTTAAAAATGTGTGTTAACCTTTAACAAAATTTTCTTCCTATTTTTCACATCTGTGCCAAAGAAAAATTTTATTTCCTTGAATTTAAATGTATATCAAATGTGATGAATAAAGAAAATAATATCTGATTTTTTATCTTGTTTTAACACAAAGAACAGCAATATTGAGCTCTTCTTCAAACTGGGCTGTTTTGGATTAAGTGACAGGTAGCATTTAAGCTTTCTGCATAACCTTAGGCTTTGTAATCCAATGTATGAAGATTAATATTTCATGGTAGTTAATATTGGCTGAGCTTAAACAAGGAAACTGAGTGAGAACATTCAAATACTATTAATACTCTGTCAATTTTATTCCAAAATTTATTTTGTGGTATTAATTTCAATTATTTAAGTGTCTTAATTAGTTATAAGGTGTCTATAGTTAGATGTTTTAAACTTTCAAAGCCATTTATGAAAAGTATTTTTCTTATTTTGCTCAACTTATTGATATCTGAGTTTCTGTCATAAACATTAGTTTCAATAAAACAGATATTAATAAAGTGTACATATGCCTGTGCAAAATGCACGGTTTGTACACTTGAATGCTTATGCATTCATACTTTTATAAGCATTTAATTTATTTTATGCATTTGTAGAATTTTTTGTTTGAAAATATAATATTATGGTATATTCTTCTGCATTCCATAATTTATACTAGTTTTAAACATAACTTCATGTGAACTTTTACACCACCTTTTGATATGATGTGTGATGTAGTGCATTTAAGCTTTGTAATTATAGGTGTTTTATTTCTTTAGTAATTGCATAATTCTATGTATTGTCAACTTTTTTTAAGTCAACATAAAAAATATTCAAGTTTTAATGCTTTTGAAAAATTGTTCAAGATGATGAGTATTAAGAATTAAACTAAAATTAGAGTATACCTTTTTTATACTAATTCTTTAGAATATAAAATCATGTTTTCTTATATTTGTTGTAGCTCCAAAAATACAATAATTACTTTATCACGCTTTTATCTAATAAAGCTTCTTTATGTTAAATTATTTTTAAAAAATATATATAGTCTTGTATTTTCATAAAGTATCTTTGCTGTTTATTCTGCCCATGAACTTTGTTACATATGTTTTTATTAATTTGATATTTTGTTGATGTATATCAGGCACAAGATGTATATTCTTTGTTTTAAACATTTAATACTTATGTTCAAAAACACTGCTTTAAAAATTTTTTCCCTCGCATGGATTTTGCTCTTATTTTCATGATCTTGTTAGGAATATGATTTTGTATTTGTTTCAAATCATAAAAATTCTAATTTTAAACCATTCACTTATTTTTTATGTATATAACTTTGTATTTGAGATTTATTTAAAGGATCTACCTGCTTATGAAGTATGTTCCACTGTAGCTGTTGATATTCTGTGGTTAGGGCAAAATCGCTTCACACCAATTATATTTTTCACTTTTTAAAATAATTTTGAAAAAATAAAAAATTACTATTTTTTTTTTTTTTGACTTAAAGGAAATATACCAGTTATGAAACAGAATTTGATGGTAGAGGAAATTTAAATACTCTTGAAACATAATTTTAAGTGTTTTAGTAAAAGTACAACTTTTAGTTACAGTTTAAAAACTTAGTTTTGATTTTAAACAAAATATTGTCATAACTTTTACAGTGGGTTTTTTTCTATCAAAATAATTTGCTGTGCTACATAATTGCAAGATTTATTACAATTTTAACTTATGCAAAATTAAATGATTCATATTCAGAGTAAAGACTTGAGCTCATATGAACAGCGATTGTAGTCTACTTTGTAAGAGAGTGATTTCAGTCAGAAAGTACTAGAGTGTACTTTTTGGTTAAAATTATTTGAAAAAAAATTAAAATTGAATGAAATTAAGCATTCATTTTAATTAAATTAAGCGTTCATTATAATATAAGTATTCAATTCATTACAAAAAATTAATAAATTGAATTTCTTTTTTTGTTTTAGTATGTTGGTTTAATAGTTGGATAGAAATATATAATTAAAATTATTGAGAAAGCTTATCTACCAGCTTTCTAATAGGTAACAGATTTTTGATAAAATTGTATTTATTTTCTTTGTTATTACTATTTTGTAATATCCACTTCTAGGTCAATATTTTTTATTTATTTTTTTAACTTGATTTTTTTTATGTTGGTCATGCAATTTGTATTTCAAATCAAACAGAATATTCAGAATGAAGTCCAGAATAATACTTATATTTAATGAGGGGGTCAACAATCATATCCTGAAATAAGAAATTAAAAATATTCGCCTATTTTATTTTCTCTAAAGTGGCCTCTTCCTCTATTTATTCATTCCAGTTCTTATTTTCGCACCTTCTAAAAAAATATTGTAATTTTCTTCTCATCCCAATTAAAATTGTTTCATTCATAATCATATAACATTGTAAAATACAAAATAAAATTTCAGTGAAACTAAACATTTATGTGAAAATTTGTAATGCAAAAAATTTTCAGATATTTATTTAAAATCTAAGTTTTAAGATTTGTACGCATATTCAAATAATATTTTAATTGTTTTTTTAAAAAGTTGTTGAATGGTATAAGACAAAATACACTGAATAACACCTGATCTTAAGATAAATGTGAATAGCTCTAAAAACGTTATAAAGTCTATATTAGTTGTGTCCACGCTGTTAATGCAATAGAAAGTAATTTGTATTTTAAAATATGTTGTTATTTTATTTTATACAATTGTCATTTTTATAAGAGTATAATGTAACATTCCTGCAAATATATGTATAATAAAAAGGAACAATGTATTTATGCAAATGAAAAGGAACTTTAGTCTAAGCAATTTGCACTATACAGATTTATTCCATTGAAGTATTTCATTTGAGAAACTAATAAACTCACCAAGTAGATTCTAATTCTGTAGGTCAATCCAAATAAATGTTGTATATTTTGGAAAATGTGCACATTTGATGTGTTAAATTATTTTTTAATGAAATAGTTGTGCTTTTAGTAACATGTTGTGCTTTTAATAGTAACTTGTGATCATTTTTATGAAGAAATCATTTAATGTGATTTTGTGTTTCTAGGGTCAATTGCTCAATTAATGTTTATAAACCTGTTGATTAAAAAAGGTATGAAGTTTAACGAATGTTAATGTATGGAATTTAGAAATGTTACTATTGTTAAATGTTTTATATAGCATTAAAACAAGTATCTAATCCTTATCAAAGGATGTTGTTGCATATCACTGATGTAAATGATCTGATATTTAAAATATTTCAGAGATACCATACTCACGAGCACATTTCTTGAAAATTAAACTTTTATTGTGAATAATTTTTTAACCTTAGCTTTGAATTTTTATGACCCCTCTATACATTGTCTCCCTCTACACAAAAATATTTAATCTCTTTTAATTTTCAGTAAGGATATAATTTTATGTAAATTTTAGAGGGAAAATCTTACAAAATATATGAATGTAATGATTTGGGTATTAATAGCATGTAGATGTGTAAAAATGCAGGGCATTGTAGAATTTAATATTTCTTTTTATTCTCGTTGAAACCATTTCAACAACATAAATAAAGTGGCTTAGTAAGTGTATGTCTGTTCTTAAAAAAATTGTAGTAAAACTAGGTATTAAAGATATATAGAGCCATATAATATTTCGAAATATACCATGAAAAGAAATTATGAAATTTTGAGAGTTACCTGGGTACTGTATAGAATTTTGAAAGACATTAATGTGTATGAAATATATTTCAAATGACTTATATTTAATTGGATATTTTAAAATATTACTTTGTCATTTTTCTCTAAATTTTCAGTTTTTATTTCAGGATCAGGTATGAAAGTTAAGTCGCTGATGTGAGATTATTCTGATGAATTTAACTTATCATTTTTATGTGTAATGTTACAAAATGAATATTTTAAAAACCCAGTGTTTTTAAAATATTCATTTTGTAACATTACACATAAAAAAGCAGCCAGAACTGTGCTCTTTATTTTTCCATTCATTCTTAAGATACTGCCAGATGGTTCTTTAAAGTTCTAGACTTTAATAATTATTAGACTAGATAAATCAATGATTTTATTTTAGAATGATTCCATGCGAGAACCCTTAGAATAATTACTGTAACATTAAAAAAAAAATTATGTCTTTTGCACATCACAGATTAATGCATGGCAAATTAATTTTATTTGGTTATAGATGGAATAAATTGCATGTTTAATCATTATTAGAAATCCCTGAAAGATTAAAAATTACATGTGTAAAAAGAAGAATGCATTTGATGCAAAAGAAATATGTATCTGTGTCTATGTGCTATCTCTGAAACAAAAATAATAAGTTAATATTTTTAAGCATTATTTAGTAATTTTTTTTTTGAGTCGTTAAATTATTTTAATATGTAAAGAATAAATTTTGAATTTAATGCAAATGTTGTGACAATTTTTATTATTATATTATTGAATATATGACAGTTGACAGCTTAATAAATTTTCTAATGCAGTGAATGTAGACCTGTTTCTATGCAATTAGAATATTAATCCTAAAAGTGATATTCTTAGAAAAACTTGCTTTATTGTTGTATAAAAATTCTTGTTGGGAAATGATAGCAATTACTTTTGTATCGAAACTATTTAAGTAATTTTATTGCATAGATAGCTAAATCAAACTGAATAGCAAAGAAGGGGGGAACATCAAACTTAATAACAATAAGGGGAAAATGTTTTAGTTATTACTTGCATTGATTCTTGTTATGTAATCATCAAAAATCAATATATTTGTGTCCTTTAAAAGAGAAAGTAATGTGTAAAACATATATAGTAGAATCCTAATTATGCAGACTTAGGAAGGCTATTACATTTATTTAACATGAAAAAGTATCCACTTAAAAGCATTAGACAATATATCTTATAATTAAACTGAATCTTGAGGTTTTAAAAATACCAGATGAGAGTGATTTGGAAATGCTTCTGTATTTTTGAAATTAGATGAGAAGTTTTTTATGTCTAGAAAAGTGGGGATGTATAAATGCCTCAAAAGAAAAATATTTTCGGCATTAAGAAATAAAATTAATGCACAGTGATTGCATAATATCATGCTAAAAGCCCCCCTTTGATATTCAGTCTTAAGTAGTAACTGCTGCAAGATCATCATCTATCTGTTCCCATTTTTGTTGGAAAATTCTGTTCTACTGTACTTGATTATATTATAAAAATGTTTTACAAAATAAAATGAAATATGTTCATTTAACTAAACAATTTGTAAGCAGTATAGAAAGTATAGAGTGTGTTGCAAGTGTAATAAGTAGATTAAAGATACTTTTCCAGCACAGAATTTTGTTATTGCAACAATGCATAAAATGTGGTGCTTTTATTGCTTCAATTGTGCATTCCTTCATTTTTGTAGCTCAATGAATGATATTGTAGATAATAGCATAATATCTGCAATGTTTTGAAAAAAGATGCTGGTGCAACATTTAAAGATAAACTGCAACTGCTGGTGCAACTTTTTAATTTTTAATTGAAGTTCATATATTTTTAAACTAATAAGTCTTTCCATTTTACATACTTATTTTTTGTCTTTTTGCTAACATTCCACATCCACTTAAATGTTGAACTTGTGGGCTTATATTAAGGTTACATTTTTTATTAAAAATGTTTGTCATTTATTGAAGGATTTCAGAAATCATTGTGTATTGATTGTTATAACTTTTTGTACAGATTGTTGATTCTGTTGTACAGGTAGTTAAAATGGTGTATCTATAGTCACTGTGTAATTTTTCTGCATCAGTAGTTAAAATAAACTTCACTTTTACAAATGAAATCAGTGGCAGATTTATTCACATAAGACTGCAAAGCATTTTTATTTAATTTTTTCATTTATTAAAAAGAAGCATATAGCAAAGAATAAGGATCACAACATGAAAATACATTAAAAAAATTATTTCAGTTTGCTTTCATTTACTTATTTTTGCATCTTGATATAAGCAGGATTTTTATGTATATTCAAAAATATTTTTCACAGAGTATGAATTTAAAGCATAGTTGACATGGTAAGGATTTTAATATGCGGTTAAAATGTCTATGCGGTATGTTTAAATATACCACACGGACACAGATTGTAAATGTCAAATTCATAATCCAAATTTTATATCAGTAGTAAATAAGGTTTTAGGTATGTTTAAAATTACTGCAAGATCCAGAGACAGCAATTAACACCTAATGTGATTCTGAATAAATATAATTTTTTAAATTTAAAATATGCAAAAATGATTTAGATCCATAGCATAGAATCTGCTTATTTGAATTGAAATCATTGTTACAGTATGAATATTGTTAAGCTGGTGCCTTGTTTGAAAAACAAAACTACTTGCTTTTCCTTATTTATTTAACAAAATAAGATGTTATTAGCACTGTCCAAATATTTTTAACACACAAGGGCAGATTTTAAATGTAAAAGATATTTCATAGATATTATTTAATGCTTTTCTTGAACAAAAGATGAATTATTATAAATTCAGCTAAGTGAACATACAGTGGATTTTGATAGTGAAGTGAGTCTGTTATTATAAATACGGTAAACTGCAAAAATTTATTATTTAAAAATAATTGTATTATGTATCTTTGTTTTGATGGTATTCATATGTATCAGCTTGTTAATCTTTTAAAAATTTTTGAGAGGTTAAAAAAAATTATATATTAAAATGCTTAATGAAAGTTTTAGGAATACTTGTCAAACAATCATAATCCAATGGAAATCTCTTTCAAACATTTTTATGCTAAATATCTTAAGGGGAAAAAAATGTTTGCTTTTCCTGATGCTAACAATTCAAGTTTAATATAGTCTAAATCAGTTTTATTAAAAACGTGTTGTTAACTGTAGAGGAAAAAATTTATAGAAATTCGAAAACTAGTAATATTAACGTTTTAAAAATGGTAAATGCATTAGAAATATAGCTAAAGCTTTTTCTAACATAAGCAAATTAAAGGAAAGTTTAAGCAAAAAAACTTTCTTTCGGAATGAATGTAAGAAATGGCAATTGTTAAACTGGAAAGTCTTTGAAGAGTCTGTTGGAAATTTGATCCAGTGAAAGTAATGGACGAAAACCGAAATGGGAGTTTTATAAGTGGGAAAAGAAAAAGAGACTTTGGCTAATATTTGCAAAACTGACTGCAACAAAAATTTAGGAGTTTTTGTAATAAAGTAATTTTTACTGGTTTACTATTTATAGCAAATTTAATATGCTTAGAAGGGATGAAAGACTAATATTCTGAGAAAAAATATTAGAACTGAAATAAATGATTTAGAACCCCCCCCTCCCCCCCAAAAAAATAATAACTTCGGCAGAAAGAGGTTTGGAGGCCACATAATACTTTTGTTGAATATATGTCTGCTGGATTCAGTAAGCTTATTTCATTGAAGGTATTCTAAACCATATAATACAATTGAACATAATAAAACAGTTTGAAGACATCTATTGAATTGAAGAATTGGGTTACCAAACAGATAATTTCTATCAAGGCAATGATCAGAAGAATAGCAGTGAACATTGATTTTCATCATTCTGTAACTGTCCCAAAATCATCCAAACACTAGGTCTAAACTTCGTTAAGCATATTTGATTAAAACAGGAAAAATAATCTAAAAATATGATATGTCTTCCACGCTTGAGATAAAAATTATGAATGACGTTATATGAATAAAAAGAACAGCACTCAGATTATTAAATACTACCGAATCAGCTTCGAGAAAAATAAAATGTGTTCAAACCAAGAACTTGCCACTTTCAGCATTTTCGATTTAAAATTTAGTTTAGCGTAAATTTTTTGGGGAGAGGAGGAGTTTTTTAAATTGAATTCTGCTTTAATGTTTGTCAGATCAAATAATGACACTATTTACACGTATAAATTAAAATAGTTCATCGCCTTTAAATATATATCGAATTTGTGTGTGCAGTGTAATTGAATCCATAAGAATCTCTTTTCCCTACGAGCAACCACTCGCGAGAATTTACAGCTTATTATGTATTTTGTGTGCGCCCTTACCGCACGGACACTGTAACATCCATGCTTTCTCTGGTATACGAACCCCGTCCCATCAGTCAGCGTCATTAACTACTATAATATCTGTAATATAATCTATATTTTCAGATAAGAGACTAAAGAACAAAAAAGAAATTTTTCTCCTGGGTAAGGATACAAGGAGGTGGTTTACGAAATAGGTTTTTGCAGTTAGTGAAAGGGAAGTGAAGTATTTCTAAAGCCAATTTCAGATGCAAAAAATTTATCTTTGGAAGAAAAAATGAAGCAAATATTTGAGTTTTAAGAAACTGCCTAAAAGAGGACTTTCTGTAGAGGAAGCACATACACTGCTTGAAGAGCTTTCTTCTGATGGATTTGATCTTATCGTATTTGATATTTCTGATGAAGTACTGGTAATGATGATTTGATATTTCTGATGAAGAATGTTCTTCATAAAATAAAGAAGGATTATACACTGAAGAGCCAAAACATTATGACCACCTACTCAAACATTGCGCTACCTTTGGCCTGCAAAACAGCTGCTACTCGCCTTGGCATGGATGCCACAATTTCTTGGTAGATGACTGGAGACAGGTTGTACCAAATGTCTAAGCAGCGATCACGCAGCCGAGATATTGCGACATGGTGGTGTTTGAGCTCTGAGCTGCCGCTCCATGACATCCCAAATGTGCTGTATCGGGTTAAGATTCGGAGAGTTAGGTGGCCAGGCGAGTATACAGCGGGTTAGGTATTTGGAATTCACCCTTAAGCTCTTCGAACCACTCCAACACAATTCGAGCCTTGTGATGGGGGCGCTGTCCTGCTGAAAGATTCCATTTCCAGTTGGGAAGACAGACGCCATGTAAGGGTGCAACTGATCCGCAGTTATATTCAGATAGTTCGCAGTTCTCATGATCTGGTCTAACACGACTAAGGGTCCCAGAGCCGCCCATTAGAAAGTCCTCCAAAGCGTAATACTGCCACCACCAGCCTGTGTATGACGTACTGTACAGAGGAAAGCAACTGTTCGGCCTGGATGACTTCGTACCCTGACACAACCATCGACGTGATGAATGAGAAAAAGGTGATTCATCCGACCAGACAACTGTCTTCCACTTATCCATGGTCCAGTCTCGATGTCTCCAGGCCCACTGTAGTCGTAGCTGACAATGACGCTTGGTCAACAGAGGCATACAACTGAGTCGTCTGCTGCGCGGTCATCCAACTGTGTCCGCTGAACTATGTGTTCCGAAACACGGCTAGCAGTGTATTGGGCTGTCAGCTGAACCACTGTCTGGTGTCGATTTGTCTCTATCAAGCGGGACAGTCTCCAACGTCCTTTTTCTTTGATGACGCCGGGACATCCAGCACCTTGGTATCTACTGCTGGTTTCACCGTCATTTATCCACTTAGCATAAATAACAATGGCATATCGTGAACAACCCACCAGACGTGCAGTTTCGAACATACGCTTTCCGAGTCTTCGGGCCATTATAATCCGCCCCGTATCAAATTCGCTTAGATCAGCAGCCTTTTCCCTTATTCGCAAAAGTAAGTGCAAGAATGATTCCTTACCAATATTGAATAACTGCTGAATTATCGCGGGAAGCGCGATATTACCAGCTCATTTGAAAATACTGCCACAGTATTTTCAAATGAGGCACTTCATTTTGGCATGTCTATGGCAATGGAGATCCGCGAGAGGGGAGGAGTGATGACGATGGAGAAGGGGGTAACCGTGAGTTACCGTGAAAAGTACACTTCGCGGCGATGCCAGCAGGCAAAAAAAAAAAAAAAAAAAAAAAAGAGTTCGTTTGTGGCGGAAGTATCCAGAGAGAACGCAGTGGTCACATGATTTTAGGGTCCAATCCAGGGAGGCATAATGAGGAAGCAAGTTCATTGGCTGGAGCCTGATCCTGAGTACTTTGATTTCTTACCTTCTGCCGAACCAGTTAAATTACCATTCCCACTCAATCACATGCCCTCCACGTCATCCAGACAAGTTTATTGAAAAGTGTGAGGATGGTCATGATGTTTTGGCTCGTCAGTGTAAAAATGTACTGTCAGTCAAGAAGTTTAACTTTTGAACTGAAGAGAAGTTAGGATTTTTGATTTTATATAATACGCATCTGTGCATGTTTATAGTGAGCTGAAGTATTATATTTAACTAGAAAGGTGGGAAACGGGATAATGCTATTGCGTAAAATTATGATTTCGGCAGCATCCTTTCAAAAATAAAGCTATTAGAAAATCGTATGAAAACTCGAGAATCACTGACAGTTGATTTTTCATATATAAGTATTAATAAACTAGGAGGTAAGAAAAGAAATAAAGAATGCATTTGAAGTTCAGATTTTGAGCGTAAGGTGCATTTGCCCCTCGCTCCCTATTTTAACTTCGCTAATTTTTCATGCTCGATCAGATATCCTGGCTCAGTAAAAGTAGGCGGCCAGTGCAACTCTGATTAAAAATCTAGTTATAACCAACCACGTGCAGTGCTGATAAGGACCACGTGTTTCTGTGACTCCTTCTCCTTTATTTTCTTCTTTCTAGGTATTTCTTTCTTCTGATGAGGAGGGATCTTTAGCTGCCCTCGAAATCGATTGAGTGTTTCATTATACCTACGCTAAATACAAGGTTGTTTTTACGATTTTGATTGTCACATTAGCGTGTTTCTCTTCTAATCTAAATAAGGAATGCCTTAATTACATGTTCGCCATTTAAAAATGCAGGGTTATGAGGATGCAGATGTCTCTGAAACCCGCTCATACTGTGGATTGCAAATAAACGAGGAAAGAGAAAAAAGTATGAGTCGTGCAATGTAAGAGATAAAAATGGGAATAAGAGTAATAGATTGAAAAATGAATAAAATATATTGTGTAACAGAAAACCTAAAGTTACAATAAAATTAACTTAGCTACGAAAATTTTGCAATTCTATAATACCGAAATAAAATTCCGATTACAGAGAGAAAATGGTACCTAGTAAGGAAAATTATAATTATTTTTGGTAATGTAGTCCAGCTTTTCAAAAATTAAGCAATATATAATTTCAATAAAACTTTACGTCGTAAGTCTATCAAAGTGTTTTGAGATTGAAAACGAAAATATTATTTAGGATTTCATTCAATGCTTCTGACCAGCATGTATTAAAACTTCATTCCTATATCACGCATATTTGTCAGTAATATGAAAGGTATGTATTCTTTCAAATTAATCATATGGGATGTTCCGTTTTTCCTTCTCTATGAATCAACAAGGCCTGTTCTGTAAACTTCTCTTTCAGCGTACACTTATTTTGAGGAAAATAAGTAAAACAATTCGCTTAAATTGCGATGGCTTTTCTGTTTTAAAGTACAGCCACGATTTAATTATCTTGGATTACTTAGCTTAATACAGCAATTTGCTCACAGATGAGTCATTTTTCTCGGGGCTGGTGAGTCATCTTCGTCTCGAAAGACATCCACGATGAATCCATCTTTGTCAGGATTGTAGCCATGGTTCACACTTTCGTATATCGATAAATTTGGACTTCTGGAAGAAGTTGAAGCAAAAATGACTGGCTGCATGCTCATTTGACCTTGCTGCTTAGCTGCAGCTGAAATTATGAGTCGATATATTTTAGGCAAGAACACCACTAACAAAACTGATGTTGCAGTTGCGACTAAACCAAAGCATATGGTAAACTCATTCCAGCGAGGTGGCAAGAGGAAAAATAGAAGATACCAAATCAGCCACACTAGACAGACGGCGACACTTCCTAAGTGCAAAAGGAGACCTTCTCTGTTATTTCTTCGACTTCGGATACAAAACGGGGAGGCTATTAACCACAAAAAGCTCAAAAACATAACGTAGGAGAAATACGCTATTGTCTGTTTCATTTCAATAGCACATCTGGATATCGATTTTTTTACGTCCGAGTATGATAACCAGTAATAGGCTGCCATTGCGATCTGAACAGTAGAAATAAAGAAGCACAGCATGGATTGCAAGAATCCACTGATATGGCTGTGAATTCCATCCATTTCGGCTGCGATAAGTAGGAAACAGCGTGAAAGTGCTGGAGCTAACATGCAAGCATATGCTATACCTACTACGGTAATCCGTTTTGAGCATGTCGGGGTATCTGCATGAAATAAGAAAAAAGCAGAGCAACAGTATGAGAATATAACAGATATCAGTAGCATCACATTCGAAATTTGAGTTCCTTCTTCAAAATCTTCTCTACAGGCTTTCGCAATCAAGAACAAAGCTGTAGAAACGGCGACAATTATACCAATGCTAGATGTCGTAAGAAGAATCGTTACCCAAGTTTCATGCTTCCAATGATAAATTCTACTGAAAAAGCTTTCAAAATCTGGAGTAATTGATATATTCTCGAAATTGCTACATACTTCAGGACAGCTGTGACGGCAATGGAATTCAGGAATTTTGAACCAACCAGAACCAGTGAAGCGAAGAATGTTAAGTCTCTTTTTGTCCCAGATCAACTGTCCTTGATAGTAGTGACCGACCTAGGGATAAAAAATTTGTTTGATAAATCACCCTTTATTTAATAAAATTAAACTAATATTAAACATTTGTACAGGTACAATTTCAGAGGATAATATGAAACAATTCTCATGTTCAAGTGTAATAAATATAAAAATATTATTAAATATTTATAAATTATAAAAGTTATGCATGCAAGAGAATCACCTCATCAGTTCAATTCCCATTATCAGATAAATAATTAGACTGAAACAGGCGTTATGTTTAATGTCCAGAACAAGATTGTATTTATTTAAAGTAGGCTGTGAATTGTTTTATTTCTGAAGTTAGACTTTTATTTTAGAGGTTATAAAATTCGTTTTACATATCGGTATTTGAAATACCATCTCCCAGGTGATTATTGAGCAGTACAAAGGCTGTTCTCACATATTTTAGATGAATTTATTTTGTTATAAAAAAGAATGCCTGTTTGAAATTATTTTTTTAACTGCAACTATATTTTTGAAAGTATAAATTATTGTCTGCCACTTAACACTTGTTTTCATGCATAATGTCGCTTTTAAAGAAGTAATGGATGAAAGCTATGTTTGTGCTTTTTCCGAAGAAAATTATTCGTATTTAGTTATTAAAAAACGCTGCGAAAGCCATGAGTTTTCGATATCTAAAACTATGATAGGTAATATTTTTAACAAGAAAAGGAAAAACGTCAATGTTTGTTTGGCTTCAAATTGAGGGGGAAAAAAAAAAGTGTTCCAAATACATATCCAATATTCAAGGAAAAGACGGAATGTTTCGACCGTTGCAAAGATAAAATATTTAATTTAAAAAAAAACCCACAAAGTTAAAGAATAGTTGCAAAATCATTAAAATGCTCAGAGTCAAATTTAAGAAAGCGATTAATGCTGATTTTAATCTTAAAAAAGGCGAAAAATCAATGTGCATCGTCTTTTTCCACGACATATCGACAATCGCAGAAAGCGCTGCAGAATTCTTTATAAGAAATATTTATCCGCACAAAAATGGAAAAATTTGTAACAGTAGATGAATATTGGGTGTATGTAAATGACTGCAATAAAATGAGATCCATTTATTATCATCAAAGGAGAAGAAAGAAATCTTAAAATGTGGTTCAAAGGATCTAAAGAAGGTTTTTTTGAAGGGATTTATGATTGCTGCTAGTTCTTCAAATTAAAATAAATTCAAAATAAATAGAGCGGAGAAAAATCTTAAGATCAACTCCACATAATGTCACCAATATATTTTATACCCAATTTTCAAATATGAAATACCTCCTTTTTACCCACAGTGCCAGCAATCAGTAGAACAAGGCAAAGCAAGAAGCCACACGTCCAGGTCCACTGTTACAAAGCAAGCAGCCACATCAAAGTCCACGGTTAATTTCCTGGAAAAATTGTAACATGAAACTGGTATCAAGGCCAGACCCTTCACTCATATCCCTACTAAATCTCCTTATGTATCATCCATGGATTTTTGAGCTTTTGGACTTACGTCGAGCTATAACCCTCCTTGGACTTCTGAAAGATGTTCAAGAGGAATGAGTTAAAATATGCCTTGAGGTACTAAAAGATGCTTTATTGTCTTGGAAATTACGGTACAGAAAGATGGTGAAGAATAAGGATTATCAAAGAGCATTTAAAGCACAAATTTTTCAGAAAAGTATTTCTGTAAATGCAATGAAAATCGTTTAAAAAATGTAAGAACGGCTTCTGTATATCTTGCGGCATTATACACTAAAGAACACCAAGAGAGACCTGCCTATCCAAATGTTTGGATAGGCACGTCTTTTGTTTGGTCAATTTGTTTGTCCAATTTACGTTATAATAGAATTTAATCACTGGAGCTAGTTGTAGATTTAATGAATCGTTTACAAATATACTGAACATAGATATCGCAATTTAAATTTGAAGCAAAGCAAATCCTGAGAGCACGTATGACAGCTTAAACTACCTGGGAGTGTCAGATTTGCCTCAAGATTCTCTGCATGATTTCTCAAGCATAACAATGGATTTCTCAAAAGCATGTTATGAATAAGCATTGAAGCCAGAAGCTCTACCAAGACAAAGGCGGCTCTCTGCGGGCCACAGATGATTATTGATTATATTGACTCATTCACACAAAGCAAAAAAGCTTAACTATGCTGGACCATATGACATACGGAAATTATTTATTTGCAATAATATTAAAAAAAAAAAAAAAAAAAAAAGGATCAGTTTTTTAAGTTGAAATCCTGAGTGCATCCTAAGATTTTAACATGAAGCTATCTCTGACCGAAACTGGGGATTCTAGCCGATCGCAAACATAAAATATATGAATTAACTTAAAATTCCACCTGTGCTGAGTTGACAGGAGTGTTCTAGCAAAAGTACAAGAGAAGGTTGGAATACTACTACTTTAAGTAAATATTGCAAGCTACTGCTGAAGATTTTTAAATATATGGAATGTATTGACTAGCACTAATTTGGTCCCTCGTGAGCATGAAAAATATTATATAAAGATGGGGAGTATGGCTTCCCCTTGTTGAATATTTTAATTTTTTTATAGAAAATTCTTAATAGAAAATGATGAAAAACCATGTAATTTTATTTTACTCGGCAGGTAAAAGGTTATGGAAGACGGAGGCACCTAGCATTTACCAGAGGTAAGTATGTGTATACTCCTCGTCCTCTACTATCCAGCTCTTATTGAAGAATTTAAGAATCTACGTAATAAGACACATGGCCATACAAGGGCTAGGTGGCCGTACATTGGCTATAATTTTGGAGACAGAGAATGCAAAAAACATATGCAATGCAAAAATATAAAACACAGAACATAAGATATGAAGTGGTACAAAAAATAAAAGTAAATATATAGTAATGTAATAAATAGTACAATATAAAAGTACATTTAGTAGACAGGTGATGGAATGTGGGAACACTTGTCTTCTAACAGAGATAAGCAGGTATATGTCCCACGTCCTCCTCTGATAAATACAACAACTTCTTGGAGCTCCACGGGAGCACCAGTTCACTCGGCAAAGAATAATTATTAGTGCTCAATAATCTCTAACCGCTAACTAAGTCCACTCTAAATAAGTCTTGAATTTATAATATTACTTGTATGGCATGATCATCTCAGCAATTCACTTTCTGAAAAAGTTTCATAATGCTAGGAATAATGAATTTTGAACGTCAGTTGTCAATGGTGAGGCCTTGTATACTGTCAATGGTTCCAATGGATAAATCTAAAATTATTTTAAAAGGGGATGGGTAAGATCGTTATCAGTTAAAAAACGACTAAGATTTTTTTTCGGAGGGGGGGGGCGAACTTTCCGTATCAAAATGGTTTACCAAATCCTATAGGCAATGGCATGAATGTCTAATATTCTTTCTGTCCGTTAGCCCATTTTGCTCTGTCCTTATTCTACATGAAAGAATTCTGGCTTTTTATAAAGTAATATTTCAATTCTTGTACATGATATTAAAATAATCAGATGTTGACACCATATGACTTCTTTGTAATTCCTATTGAATTTAATACATTCTTTTGCATTTAAACTTAATTCCTCCAGTTTCATTACAGATATATTTTTCCTCATTCAATTCATTCAGTTCTCACTCCGCGACAGGGCAAAAATATATAAAAACTCAAAATATCTTCATTAAAATTTGTAAAATACAAAGAAACGTAACACAACGAATACAGTTAAAAAATTTAATTAAAATTAGAGTTTATACTCCAAAAACAACCAATTTGGCCACGATCGAAAAGATAAACCACAGCAAAATTTAAATTTAACTTTTGATCTTGGTGCGGCATATTATAATAAAAAGAGAGATGCGCAACTAAATGCTATAGCAGTCGCAAAATTTCAACACTTTACGGCCAATCGTTTTTGAGTTATGCGAGATACGTGTGTACACACGGCACGGAAAAGTACCTTCTGAATACATTTTAAATCCATTTTACAATCCGGTTTGGGAAAAAAAAAAATTTCTTTATTTTGTCCTATGTACAGATGTTACGCCAAAAAATCGTTCAGATGGATTCGCCAGCAGTCAAGATGGACATTTTTGTTGAAATATTATACTCGAATTTCTTTTGTGATTACAATACTTCCTTTACTTTACAAAGTATCTTTATAACTTTACAAAGTACCTTTATAACTTTACATAGTACCTTTTACCTTTATAACTTTTACAAAGAAGTAAAAAATCTGACATGGACATCACATGACTTCCTGTTAAAATATACACATATTTTGCTACATTTCATTTAAACGTATTTAATTTTATTAGAGATATTCTTCTCATTCAATTAATTCAGTTCTCACTTCGCGGTAAAGCAAAAATACATAAAAACTCAAAACATTTTCATTAAAAATTGTTAAATACAGAAAAACATTAAACACCAAGTACAGTTGAAACAGTTTAAAAAAAAACACAATTTTTAGAATTAAAATTAGAGTTTCTACTGAAAAACAAGCAATTCGGCTAGCGGGAAAAAAGGCATATTTCTCAGTGCACAAAACTGAAAGTTTACTTTTGGCCCCACTCGGCAAAAAAGGCGTTGAAGGTGCAGAAACTGACTTAATTCACAATTCTACTGTGTATCAAATGTAAACAAATGGCCGTTCGTTAAGCTTAACTCGTGACTTAAACTTTAAAACTGTTGAAAATTCTAAAACTATTGCATACAGATTAACTAAAGGCATAAAGACCTTAACCGGAACATATAAACCCCATAATTCAATCACTTTTAAAGCATTAAATGCACAATTTATCAACATATAAGAATAAAAAAACTAAACTCACCGAGCCAGGAAACAGAGTGGAAAATATATATATACACAATTGGTGCAGCCGATTGCAATGCGAAAGGGAGGTGCACAAGTACACGTTATAGCAGCTCCATATACAAAATTTAACGTTCTACGGCTACTCGTTCTTGAGTTACGCGAGATACATACATATGTGCGAACGTACAGACGTCAAGAATAAAATCTCTTCAGAATCGATTTTAAATCCAATTTATAATCATTTAGGGCAAAAACAGTCCTTTATTCTGTCCGTACGTATATATGTCACGGAAAAACATCATTCAAATGGTTTCGAGAGCGGTTGAAATGGATATTTTCGTTGAAATATGATTCCGGAAATTTTTCTTGATTACAATATTTCCTTTGCTTTGCAAGGAAGTAAGAAGGGGGAACTCACTTTAGTCTATTAGATAATATATAAATGGTAATGTACATCAAATTTTACTTGCATCAAATTTTAATGGCGATGAAAGCTAAGATGCAACGCATGAATGATGGATCTTTTAGGTAAGATGTGAGAAGCAAAATGTTGATAATTAATCGCAACCCACGAATAACTAATCTTTGATATAAGTTGCAAATAACACAGTGTTAATGTTTAATCCGTAAACATAAAACGGAGAGCTTTCGTTTAGTTTTACAATGAATTTTTAGCCCAAAGGACGTTGGCCCAGAAGAGCTATTAATTTCGTTTTGGAACTTTGCGTTGAAAACTTTAAACGTCGGTTCACTTTTCAAATAGTTGCCACCAAATATTACAGCTCTGTATTATATATTTAAAGAAATTAAATAAGGAAGAATCTGCACAAATGTATGTTTCTTGCATTTTGATAAAACAACGGTACCTAGAGCCATCTAGTTTTGAATAACGTATGTTTCCATCCGAATATGGCATCTCGAAGTCCAGATTTGGAATTTGTTTTATTATCTATTTCATATTGTGTAGAACTTTAACGAATTTTTGATAACAAACTCAACGATTTCAAAGCGAGCAATGGCAACACTACGAAAAAAAAAAAAAACCATTTTTATCTTTCACGCGCGAGATTGTGAATCGGAAATTCTAAAGATATGCTCATTGTCAAATTATTTTGCGATATTGCTGTTGAACTGAATTTTATGGTTTAAGTGCGAAGAACATGATATTTAATTAATAAAGGTAACGCACAAAACGTAAAAAAAAAAAAAAAAAAAAAAAAAAAAACTGAAATGTTTCAGATTTTAAATTACGTCATAAGGGGCGTTTTTTAACATTTTGTGTGTTACCTTTCTTTATTAAATATCATGTTCCTCGCACTTAAACCATAAGATCCAGTGCAACAGCAATATCGCAAAATAGTTTTTAAAACGAGCATATCTTTAGAATTTCCGATACAGAGACTCACGCGCTGGAGATAAAAATGTTTTTTCTGCACACAACGTTGCCATTGCTCGCTTTGAAATCCTTGAGTTTGTTAATCAAAAATTCGTCAAAGTTTTAAAAAATAGGAAATCGATCATAAAACAAATTTCAAATTTCAAATTTGGTCTTCCACATGCTCATATTCGTTGGAGGATTACGTTATTCAAAATTCGATGACTCTATGTACCGTTGTTTTATCACAATACGAGAAATATACATACATTTATGGAGATTTTTCATTATTTAATTTCTTCAAATATAATGCAGGACTCTAACGTTTTGTGGCAACAGTTTGAAAAGTGAACCGACATTTATGAGTCCGACGCAAAATGCCAAAACGAAACTAATAGTCCTTCGGGATTCAAATCCCTTTGGACTAAAAAAAAAAAAAAAAAAAAAAAAAAACGCTCCCTTGGACGTAATGTAAAATCTGAAAGCTTCCAGATTTTTTTTATTTTTTATTTTTAATTCTCATACAGTATATTCCGCAGATTAGCAAACTAAATTTCATTTTTTTTTAAAGTTGCTAAAAAACCTGTATACTGAAATAAGATTAATCCAACAATGTTTGAATGTCGCAAATCAACAAATCTAAATTGTAAATGAGCACTTGACTTTTTATACTTATTATTTTTTAATTTATTTATTTTAAGGGTAGGAAATGTAATAAACTGTTGCATTTTTTAATGAAAACCAATATCCTCATCAGAACAAACTGCGACAAAAGTGTGTGACTATTGCAAGGCAAAAAATTATTCCCTGCTTAGAAACTGCTGTGAAAGAAAGTGAGGATTTCTTACCTGTAATTCTTTATGCTTAGAAAATTTCCCGATGGCGTGCTGAAATGTCCAGATCTCAATTTCATTTGATGTAAGATTTGAGCTTTCACTAATGGAGGCTAGTTTTGTTGTTATGGAATCGTTGCCAAAAATTCCAGCTGGGGAATATAGACAAGTATTAATTTTGAAGTATTTTTAATGCAATCATTTTGGATATTATTACACATTCTTATGCTTTCTTTATATATTTTAATCATTTCTTTTTTTCTTTTGTCTTGTTTTGTTTAAATGCTGTATTTAAAACAAACAAACAAAATGTAATCACATTTATTCTCATATTTTAATATTCGCATCTATTTCATTAAATTCAATTTCATATTTTAACATTCGCATCTATTTTCATTAAATTCACAGTGGCCTTTCATTGAAATAAATGTCCGTTCTTCCCGAAGTCCAATTTTAAAATCAATTTCTTAGTTATATCTAATTTTATTACTCTGAATTTCCAAATGCTGAGTAGAATTGATGTTATATGAAGGAAAAGGTAATGGCACTATTTCGATATATTTTATTGCATCCAGAATTGATATTTATGCTGCATGTTTTAGGGTCTTTGTCTTGCTAAAAGATATTTTTTCATTATAAACAGCATTATATTCTAGATTTACATTCGGTGGTTCGTCACGTTTTCAATAATGTGAAAATTCAGAACACCTGATGCTTTTATATTATGTCATTCCACAAATAATTCGGTTATATAATTGAACTCAAAATCTGAGGGGTCAATGTAAACTGCCTGATCAACTTCTTTATGCAATGAACTCTCATCTACATTCGTCGCCAGCTCATTCCGTCTTTTTACGTCTTATTCTTTTGCATCTTATATTGCGCTTATATCCTTAATTTCATTACTGATTGATAAGTCTTCTTATATTACAAATTTATTTCAGACCATTGTGCAATTTTTGAAATTCAAATCGGTTTCAACGGATGTTGAATCCAGAGTTCGAGAACCTCGGTTGATTGCAGCATTCTTCCTGCGATCCTTTTCCTTGTTCTTATTCTTAGTACAAGTTTGAAAGAGTGCTGTTCGATTTTAACAGTTATTTTTTCGAAGCTAAACGGAAATGTCAAAGATGCATCTATGGCATATTTTGTTTGATGAGTTCAATTACTTAATTATTAATAACTTAATATTAATAATACTCCATATACTGCATTAATATTCCTATTAATATTAAGTAACTTAATATTAATAGGAATATTAATGCAGTATATGGAGATCTGATAATGTTAATATCAGTGATGGTTCCAGAAATCCCAAACTGACAACTAGTTTAGAAGACAAGCCCCTTCCTGGAAGATCTGGTAGAGCTCGACGAGCATGTCCTACAAATCCTAGTGGGAAAAAAGTCCCATCTTAAACTATCAAGAAACTAGCGGAGGTTGAAGGAGAGTATATTTTAGTTTAAAGAGAACTTTGTTTATCTTAATTTTGAAAAATAAAAAGAAGTAAAAAAGAATCGCATTATTTATGAAAAGACCTAGTACAACCCCAATCTAAACCACTTCCACCATCGTGCTTAATTTTTGACCATAAGTTCTCATGTAGTTAAACGTACATTATGACCATAAGTTAACACTCATGTTCCTCCCTCCCCCAGTTCTATATTATTTGGCTATCAAGGGACACATGTTGTAATACAGAAGGCGACTCATAATCTGATCGTGGTTAATGCTATTATGCTGATACTGTTATCGAGTTGCCAGAGTGCTGCCCATTTGTATACGAAAACATGGAAAGTACATAGCGTATTGTAATTGACAAGGCAATTAATATTATCAAAATATTATAGAATGGATTTTTCAAACTGAAGTAATGTCTCCAGTTAAAAGATATAATCCTTATATAAGATTGAAACAGAACAAAGAGATTACCAAATGACAGATCTATGTTGCCAAGTAAAACACTAAATCGCAAAGTATCTTGATTTTTATGTAGGGCAACATTAAAATTTGAAACCGCATCTGAGAAAAAACAATAAAAAACTATTTTAAGCATGCCAGCCCTTTAGTAAATGATAAAATAACATGAAGAATTAAAAACATTTTCCAGCTAACATGAATTATGAGAATTTAACGCTTGAGTAGATATTGATGAAAATTCGAAATCTGCAGATTGAAATGACAGAAGAAGATGTCTGCCTGTCGTTTTCTGAAATAAATCCAACCATATCATGTAATAAACTTTAATAAATAACTGTAATAATATAATAACTTAAACTGAAGAAGATGAACATGAAATCAGGGAATTTCCTGCAAATGATGATGGATGCACTATAAGTATTACGATTAGGGAAACAGTTCAAAAAAGGAACCTAAGCGTAAGATAGTTTAGTTATATTTACATCAAATTAGTTAATTTCCATATTTCGAAAATTTTTTCTCATTGCTATTAAAATAATAATTCACAAATGTGATCACATTAAGCGGCGCCTAATATAATTTCCTTCTGCCCCTCAAAAAAAAAAAAAAAAAAAAAAAATTACTGTACTTTTCTATCTGCCTTTCTAATTACTTTAATTTGGTCTAATTTTCTGAGCCTCCCACCCTAAAAAAAAGCGCTTCTGCTGCTGTTAAGCCGTCTTTCTTTTGTAGCTTAAGATTAGGAGATGTTCATATCACGGTATATTTTAGATCGTATTTAGCGCTACCAGTCAGTTATGGACTGGCTGTAGAATGGGATTTTCCGACAAATCATGGAATTTGTTGCAAAGATTTGCACTACATTCGGAATCTCATTACATGTTTCCATCGCGTTTCAGTTGTTCATCTTGACTTTCTTTCAATATGACCGGCAGTAAACGCTCTGAAAAAGACCACAGAAGCTTCTGGGCAGTAAAACATAGACAACCTGCGATGCAAACAAAACCAATTTAATTACTATATTACAGCGATTTTCTACGCATGCGAATAATTTTGACTATTAAAGTATATGATTATTTTGATCGCTTTATGCTGTAACTTGCGTTGTACTGTATGACTTTTTCACAGAAAATTATTTTTTGTTTTTTGAATTTCCTTCAGAAAGTGTTCCTAGGAGGTGTTTCTCTTCTTAAACGCTCACCAGCCGCCGAGCGGTAAAATCGCTGAATACTGTTAGCTCTGACCTGTGTCCGATTCCAGGCAAACGGGGTGGTTGCATGGACGTTTTCATGGTTTTCACCATGTGTAACGTGTATACGAGCTAGTTTCTCTTATTAAGTCCTCCAAGAAGGCATCCTTACCCTTGAACAGCTAGCCCTAGTCTGCTTTGCCATAATCAACTACAGCAAACCAAACTTTCCTTAGGCAGATATTACTTACGTGATCCGCCATATTCAAGCAAATAAAGGGTGGCCCAGAAATCACTTTACATTTTGAAAATTAAATAACTTTTTTTCTATTAATATATTTCTTTTTTCTCTTTTCAGAATTAAAAAATATAATCCCTGGAAATTTTTGGCATGGATAAGTTTACAACAGAACAACGAGTGAAGATAATTGAATTTTACTTTGAAAATGGACGGTCAATTGTTGCAACGCAAAGATATGCGCCATTTTAATGTTCGACATCCCCCTAGTAGGCCTGCAATAAGGAACTTAGTGACGCGTTTTCAAGGTTCAATTAGTGCAATCTTTAAAACCAGCAGACTTTCAGAAACGAATAAATTATGCTGTCAGGTTTCAGAGAACTGCAAGAAATGACAATGAGTTTATTCACAAGTTGATCATGGAAGATGAAGCTCATTTCCATTTGAATGGACATGTGAATAAGCAAAAAATAAAAAAGAATTAATTAAATACAGTCATTTTAAGAAAAAGTTATTTAATTTTCAAAATGTAAAGTGACTTCTGGGCCACCCTATACAAAATACAGAAAAGGGCTATATCTGCTGCACTTTTCATGATTATTCGACTAATATTTTCCTCAAAATTTGTAGAAAATAATGTTGTGTAAATAATTCAATGAGAATTGAAATCATCTATTTCCACTATTACAATGTACCACAATTGAAAGCAAAATGTTAGGCAACTATAATGAAAATTTCTTCAAAGTTCTAAGAATAGTTTTTGGTTAAAAATCAGGATGTAGCCCTATTTATTATTACAAACATATTTAAATTACTTTCCTATACATTGTTTTAAATGATAGGCATTATATGTTAGAATTATTGATAGGTATTTATTAGTTATTTGATGTGTACTTAAAAGGTTTTCGAAGAATAATCATTGGTTCCATGAGGAAGAAATGTAACTTACTTTTGCTTATATCTCTTAGTAAGTTGTCAATTGCCTCATTTACTGTACTCCATTGTGGATTCCTCATCCTGAGGGGGTGTTCGTCGCATCTAATTTTCTCGAAACGGCTTCCATTCATGTTGCTTGAACAACTGTTTACATAAGCCACATAACTCCTTGGTAAATTTAATTGTTTAATTTTTGCACCGAATTCATATGCTTCCAAGATGTTTTCATCAAATTTTGGAATCTTTGAAAGGGATCGTTTAAAGAGGATCACCGGTTGGTCAGGACCAAAAATGATTGACAATTCGGATTCTTTCTCGTCGACTCCAACTAAAAACCAATACTGGATCGAGCTGTTAGTCAGTATTGCCATTTCATACAATCTTTGAGCGCTGATACCCATCCCAAGGACAATAGCGACTTTAGTAGTTGATGATGTTATTTCTTGAAACGTCATTCTAAGGAAAAAATCTGACCTGTGAAAAATATAATTAAATTAGAAATAGAAATTCAGAATATATCAAACTATATCCATAATAATGCATTTAAATGTATATTTATACTAAAAATCAAAGTTAAGAAATCATACAACTGCCTCTGATGTAAATTTAATTCTAAACGTTTCTTAAATTTTATAATATTAGATAAAACTTTATTTTATGAATCAGTTGAAACATAAGTATGGTAAAAAGTAAAACAGAAATATGCTTGGAAATATTTACAATTTTTTATAATTACCAGTCGCTGATTACCTAAGCCTTTAAATATTTTTCTTGGCTTCTAACTTTGCAAGATTTCTTTCAAGCACTTCAAAGTCAAAAACTACGTCTAAATCACAGAATGGTTTTAAAATGTACCTTTCAAATTTATATACTCATGCACCATATTGTGAAACTGCTGGAGATAGACATTGAAACCTGCTCTGAAGATAGATATTGTGAACTGTATTAAGGAACATTTTTCACATCTCTCAAAGATGCTGTAGAGTATATAAGACGCGATATGGAGTTGGGCATTATCATGCTGCATAATGGCGCTTTTTGGAATGCTCAGAAGTTTAGCAACGCATCTCTTTTATCTGTTGATAAGCATATGAAAGGAGATAAAATCATTTATAGAATTTTTTAGTTGATAACTTGAATTGAAAATTAGTCTTCTTTGGGTAATCTTTAAAACGCGGTTTATCATGAAAATTAATTATTTAATTCCCTTTTTTCACTCTCCCGTCATTTCTAATGGGGAACAATATTTTCATGCACGACAAATGCACATTTTCTTGAATATCTGAGCATATGTGACTTCTAAATTTAAAAATGGTTGCGACGAGAAAAATATTTTATACACTAATAAAACAAATACTTCTGAGTATTCATGGTTAAGGAACTTAATTCGAATATCGCGTAAGAACAATCTGAATCCAAGCAGAAAGAAGAATTTAGCAGACTTACTTAGTATCCGTAGTGAGTACAGTTGATGACACAATGCAAATATTATGAATGTCAGCTTCTTCTCGGAATTCATTTTCTAATTCTTTTGTTGAAGCGAATAGAGCGACCATTTGCCATTTTAAGTCAAATAAGACTTCTGTAACGGCCTGAAAGAATAAAATACATTGAAGCATTTAGGCCTATTATATTGAGCATTATTTTTAAAAATATGAATCTGGAGATGGATTTAATATTTCGCATTACTTTTCAACTTTTCACAATTAAAGCTAGAATAATTGAGAGCAGGGTTTTTTCGCGTAAAAGAACACAAAATTTGAAAATAAACTATTAATGGTAGAATATTTCCTGGACAGAAATTTGAAATTGCGGAATAATTTTTATCAATTATGAGATTGAATTAAGGCTTTTCAGTCTGCTACCATAAAGTACGTTTCTGTGGCCTATATAGTAGAAACAAAATTGAATGGAAGTATGAATGCATGTGACACTGAATTTGAAAATAACTGGGTGAGTAGCCTTTTAATGGATATGTTTGCCTTTTTAAATTTTCTAAATATGTATCTTTAAGACGAAAAACAATTAACGAATGATGCTTCGTAGAGTGGCGTCATCTTAAATTATACTGAATTTGCGGCAGGTTTCTACTAAGAAGAACAATTTCACTCATTCTCGATCATTGAATAAAGTCGTGCAAACAGCACAAAAACATGCAACACAAGGCCATTTTCTCAGAAGATTTAAGGAATAGATTTCACAAAAGACTAGTTGTACTTCCGTATACCTGTTACTCCATTCTCAGTTCACTAGAGAATATAGAAATGGTATAGAATTATGCTTCCTTAACATCCTTTGTTCACCACTTCACTTTTTGGAAGGATTTATATTTGCGAGCAATTTTGTTTAACGAGCCAAACGTACGACTTTACACCGAGTACTGTCCAATGCTAACCTATAAATATAGATTTGTCCTTACAAACAACAACCAGTGCACATGCGGCACTGGTTATTGTTTCTGATAACTAGTTAACGAGTACTGGTTAACGAGATTGTTTCTGACAACTGATTCATATTCAGTGCAATACTTGGTAATGAGACTCTACATCTCAGTAGCACCTTCATACCCACAAAATGTTATACTTATAGAGTGCATCTTTTCAGCGAATAAACAACCAAATGTTAAATAATTAAAATTTCATTGAGCAGAACTATCATAAGCTCTTGAACAGAATTTACACCCAAAGAGGAGATCTTTTCTAATATTTACTTGTATGTTCACCCATGAAATATTTCACTTGTCCAGATCATCTGCAAGCTGTGTGATAGCCTGGAGAAACATGCGTGTCAGAAAAACAGGGCTCACTGCAATGGTTAAAATTGCGAGTTTGTTTCCGTTGGGAATCTACTTTATAAAACACTCCAAAAATTCTCCGATACTAATATATACTTAATTTCGCCCCATACTACGCCATACAACAATAGCTACGTGTTTTAAGATCGTTGAACATTGATAGATGAACCTATAGATTTAAATCCGAAGAATGAGCTGTTTGCACACGCCGGTAGGCGTTTTCTTTGTTTTCCTTACGAAACCTGAATATTAGCCAGTTTTCCTTAGAAAGCACCATTTCCTTTGAGGTAGATAGTTCTTGCCTGTTTTGGCACAATCAATCTCAGTCATCACCACTGAACTGACGCTATTCTAGTCTGGAAACAATATGTGGTAAAAATAGGTTTGGATTATATGTAGCAATATTCATTCGAATGTCGAAGCTCATTTGATAAGAATAAAATGATCCTGTACAGTCCAGACTTTAATTTTTTGATACTTCATATGGAATATATACTGATTTAGTTACCTCATGGCAATTTTTAAATTTTAATCTTTTACCTTTGCTATTTGGATTATTCTCGATGTTGATACTCTTAGTAACAAAATTGTAATGAAATGAAAATTTTAATTTTATAATTATACTCTATTAAAAGTTTTGAAGTCCTCTTGAGGTATAGCTACTTCCTTCAGTAAGCTTGACCATAATTTAATTCTTACAATCTATGTTGGAATCCTTATGTTAGAGCATTTAGCTTTTTCCTAAACCCAGAGAAAAAGATACGAGTTGCAGGATGACTCACTGTTTATTTTTACATTAACTTTATGTCATGAAATTGTTCAAATTTCTTCCAGAAATAATGCATATTCATCTTCGTATTTCTGACTGTAAAGAGATCAAATTTCATAAATTGTTTAAAGAAAATTCAAGAAATAGTTCTTGCGTAGTAGTACTAACGATAAAATTTTATATTTAGAATAAATGATATCTGTAATAAAAAATTATTCGAGGTTATTGCATCAAGGAAACTTACTTTTTTAATTACGAGTTATTTATTTCATTAAGGTCTAAAAGAATTAAACTAAAAGTAAAGTACTTTGATCTCTTCTTTAAGCGATAATGTTATAAGTGGAAAATATGGGATGCTGATAGATTTCAGAAAGGTTGCGACTTTTCCTTGCACTTCTGGATTCGTTGGTCCAATAACACCTAAAAATAGGAAGAGGATACAAAATAATTAAAGTTATTAAATTTGTCTGCATTTGACATTCTTAGTGCATATGAATTTCAATCTTACCTATGAAATGCTCATTTCTGCAGTCCGGTCTTAAAATCTGAGTATTCACTAAGGCACGAATCAAATGAAGAACAGCCGTAGAAGAATTCGAACACGTGTCATAAATATCAAACCCTAAATACATCGTGAAAAGAAAAATGGGCATTTAAAATTATATGAGATTTTTAAAAAGCTCACAGAATATTTAAATTTTATTAACATTATTCTGCTATTATAAAGATTGTTTTGAATCATTATGACTAGGGTTTTACACAAACCGACTTTTTTGAAAAACCGGTTTTCGAACTCTTTTGTCAAAAAATATGGAAAAATTTTATAATTTATATTTATAATAATTATATATTAAATATATATTATTATATATATAATTATAGGTATAATAATAAAATCGAAATCAATATCAAAATCGAAATGTAAACAAAATTAAGGATTACATCTACATATTACTTACACAAAATAAACGAAAATTCCAAACAATATTTATATTATTTTCATTAATTTTAATTTCTACCAAGAAAATATGATTTTAAAAACCATAAAATATTCACTGAACGGTGGCTAAGTCTCGTTCTTATTTTGAATACAATATTGCCTGAAATTGAAAATACTCGTTCACTAGCTGCTGAGCTTGGTTTTATACTTCTCCGAGGCATCAAAAAACAAATCTAAGTTTTTTGCTCTTTTATTCGTTGGCTCAAAGAATGAAAATTCAGCCGTGTTTCTCACTGGAGAGTTAAAAAACTTAAAAATTTTTCTAAAAAACTTTAAAATTTTTCTAATTTGGGAAACTGATTGTTTGTAATTGTCAGACAAAATAGGAATAGAATGTTCGAGGTTATAAATACAATAAAGAGAATCTTCATAATCTTTATATTCGTATTCGTCTTCATCTTCCGATTCCTCACTTGAAACATTTATTTCGGCGTCAACTTCAGCCATTTCTCTATGTTTATATAACATATCAGTAACTGCTAAGTGGATGGCGTGTGAATAGCATAGTTAATTAATTATAGATGATAATTTGCCAAATTTTTTCATAACAGCAGCACCCTCATTTGTGGCTGCAAGTATGTCAGTTTCTAGATTCAAATTGAAATTTTGCTGCCAGTTGCATAGTATGAATAGCAAACCAAATAAGTTTAAAATTAATTTTTACATAATGCTATCAATTCTTTAAAACCGGTTTTCTTTATTATTCGAATGTGACAAATTTACTTTAAAAACCGGTTTTTTAAAATCGGATTTGGAAACCCGTCAAACTCTAATTATGACTCGTTTTATTATAAACTTCTTATTAAATTTTAATTAGAATTTACTTTGTTTTGTTCCTTACTTTGGGTAGAGGCCAGAATTTTCGGGGGAACTATTATAATTAAAATACATTAAAATGGTTCATTGGCTTGGCTAATGCTGGATACAGAAAAGCAAGGATTTTTGTGGAAGAGAGATTTCAGTTGATTTCAGTGTTCCTTCTCCTGACGAAGTGGCATTGAATTTGGTTGAATTTTCCTCTTCTATTTTGCTTGTTTTTCTTTAAATGTCTTTGATTTTTTTAATTAGGGTATTGCTTGTTTGAAAAGTTTTGGTTTTAACATTTTTAAAATTCTTTTTTTGCATTTATAGGATTATTTGAAATTTATTAATTATGAATTTCAATTTTTGATCTTTGTGAAAAATTAGTTCTAAATTTCTTACTTTAAGTCTTTACTGATAACTTTTCAGCAGTTTAATGCGCGAAAATACTGGGCATGCTTATATTTTGCTTTTAAAAAATTGTTTTGTAATTATGAATGATATATATATATATTCAAACACTATTTAAGAAAATATTTATAAATTCGTATCAAATAACAGAATTTATTCAGATCACATAATTCAATAAAGTTGCCCATATTGCAACCATAAAAAGATTTAACTACAGTAGGATTAATTTAACTGCTTCATGCAGTGGTGTAGCTAAAGAGGGGTGGAAGAGGCGAACCTTCCCGGGTGGCATGTTTTTAGGGGCGGCATTTTTTAATCGTTAGGGCAGGCAAAGAATAATTAGAATCTAAATATCTGTACAGAATTAAATTAAGAAGAAAAAAAGTTCTTTCTTTAGATAAAGTATTCAAAGATATCACCACGTGATTACAACAGCAACATTTGTTATATTTTTTTTATTCGGTAGAAAGTTTCGAATACAAATTACGAATATGAACTAAACTATTATCACAGTGATATTAATAAAGAAGAATTGCTAGTTTATTAAGACGTATTTAGACTGTTATTTCCGTTATTGATAGAGAAATGTCAGAGGGCGGTCCTTTTAATTTTTTCCATTTTATTGTAAAATACAACCTTCAGAACAAAGCTCCAAATATTGTAATACTAGTACAAACTTTCTTCTAAATTGCCGTAAGTGTCTGTGAGGTTTACCACTGTATAATTGCAGTCAAAAGTGAGTAACCTTAAGAACTAGTTAGCGAATAACCGCTTAAGTTCGTGTGCCAAGAAACAAACAAGACGGAAGGGTAACTAACCCTTTATTATTCCAATAAGATTTAACAACACTCCGTCTTGGAGTGTACAATAAAATCAGACACTTGGGCTTGAACTTAAGAAATAAACTAAAGATTAACTAAAGAGATATAGCCGAAGCTATCAAGATTCTAATCGAGTTGGCCCTTAACTCTATTTGACTACGAAGCTTATCAAGGGCCTGAGTACGGCCGAGCGTAATAACAGCTTTGAGAGAGAGTAGCCAAAAGACAGACGCGCGCAAATCAGAAATTCTGATTCTCTCTGACTCAGCAAGTAGACTTCGCGGTTTAAATACCGCTCGTCCTCATTAAGTATTCAGAGTGATTCCAAAACTACGTTCTGGCCGGAAGTAGTAAGCTGAATAAAAGAGAAACACGCCAATGTGACATTAAAAATCGCAATAACAACCTTGTATTAGCGTACATATATTAAAACACTCAATCGATTTCGAGGGCAGCTAAAGGTCCCCCTCCTCATCAGGAGAACGAAATTACTAGAAAAGGGAAAAAGAAGAAAAATAAAGCATTGGCAAAGGAATCTCAGAAACACGTGATCGTTATCAGCACACACGTGGTCGTAACCAGATTTTGAATCAGATTTACACTGGCCGCGTACTGTTACTGAGCAACGCTATCTGATCAAGCATATAAAACATAGACTAAAAAGCAAACAAATCAGCGAAGTCCAAAAATAGGGAGCGAGGGGCAACTGCACCTTTACGCACCAAGTTACGGTTACAACCACGTGTTTCTGAGATTCCTTTGCCAATGCTTTATTTTTCTTCTTTATCCCTTTTCTAGTAATTTCGTTCTCTTGATGAGGAGGGACCTTTAGCTGCCCTCGAAATCGATTGAGTGTTTTAATATATGTACGTTAAATACAAGGTTGTTACTGCGATTTTAATAGTAAGCTGAAGTTAAGAATTTGACAGGAAAGGAACTTAAAATTTAACTGTTAATAAAGTTAACATAATCCTTACATGTTGTTGTTGTGAGAAGTGTCTTCTAAATAAAAATCATTTAATAAATAATAAGAACTACAAATGTGTATTTTGCATTTAAGAAATCGTTCTCTACTATCAACATAACAGCGAGACCTATCAAATAGATCTCTACAACGTCCTGGATAGTTTTGGGAACAAAAAGTAAGCGAAATAACATAATTTTAAGATCTTGGAATTAAAGATATTCTTCAAAAATGAACTTCTATTATATTCTTAGTTCTAATTTATTTCCTTACATGTCATTTTAACATATTTGTTTGCATATCAAAAGGGACGGCAAAATCTTGGACCGCCCCGGAGGGCGAAATTTTAGCTATGCCACTGACTTTATCTTATGACAAAAACTCTTGCAGAAAACCCGTGAAAATCACCGAGACTAATTCTGGATTGAAATGAGTATGTTCCAAATCAATATTTCTCAAACTTTTTAAAACTTTTTAGAATGTTCTGTGGACCATCTTACTCTTTTTTAGCATATATATTTTAGTATATGTTACTACCAGATTACTCATATTTTTAAAATAGATTTAGTAAAAATTAATTTAGTTTTATGTTAGAAGTAAGCAATTAAGTTAAGAGAAAAAATCCATATATGTTTTTAATAATTTAAAGCTATAAAGTTTGGATAATCTTATTAAATAAAAATGAAGGTACTTAGCTTAAGAGACGAACTAGCCTGCCGTTTGTTGCATGACTATTCTATGTTTGGATGTATACTTGTAAGAAGCACTACAGTCGTAGCGTTTTAAATCCCTTTCTGTCGCTAAAAGTAGAGTGGGAAGTCCTTAGATATGGCAGTCGGTATTAAATAATAATAATCGAAAGTAAATTTCATAATGCCAATCTTCGGCGGAAACGCGATAGATGATTGCCACGTGTAATTTCCAAATTCTAAAATTTTCAGCTTAGCATGATATACGCAGTTTAATTAATTTTTTTGGGGGGCGTGGGTCTCTCTCTCTCTCTTTTTTTAATTCTAGGAAAACCACAGGGAAAAACCCCAAGGACTGCAGATTGAGAAACGTCCAAACTTAAGCCTGGATTGATTTTAAGGAAATACACTATACACAGTTTATAAAATGTTTTATCAAACAACGCTTATGTGATACCCATAATGTTCGATAAAGCATAATATTGATATTATTTTAGTTATTAGTATTATAACTGATAATATGATACCGTCAAGCTGATTGAAATACTCTGATTATCTGAATACTGTCGAATACTGCTGGAAGATCATGAATTAATAAAGTAGAATCATAGCATTATATTGAAAACTGAGGTCACTAACAATGTTTTACTTGTAATCATTTTTAGTTTGCATGTTTCAGATCAAAAATTTATGTCTGCTTGGTTTATTAGAGTCAGTTCAATAATTGATAAGAAGTAAAGTTCTTTTATATCAGCTACTCTTTATAGTAGAAAACCGTTAAAACTATTTCCTCTGAAAGTTTCTTTGCACAGCTCTTAAGTCCAGTTCTTATATTAGAAAAAGTGAATGTGTGGACCGTGGACGCAGCCAGGTGATCAAGGTCAAAGGAATTCTTCTTTTTCCTCTTTTCTTTCTGCAACATAAAAGCTTGGACGAATTTTTCCCTATCTGCGGGAAAAAGTGAGTTTTCTCGTTTAACACTGATTGGGTCGCAGTGTATTGTTATTTTAACCACAGCAGGCTAGTTTTCTGCTCAGAAATTAACACCTAGTTTAAAGTGTGTATTACATGTGTATTATATCTACAGTAATATTTATTAAGGTTTTACCCAAAACATTGCGTATATTAGTGAAGTTTGGATTAATTTCACGAGTTGACTTGTTTTGTTAACTTTACTGCTCATTGTTACACCAACTTAAGTTATATTTTAATTTATCCATCTTCGTTTAATCTTTATTTAATGTTATTTCTTTATTACTTAAGTTCTTTTAATGTTTGTTTAATCTTATTGCCAAATCTCAAAAGTCTATGCAACTTGAAAGTTGGATTTTCCCTATTCTCATTCCGATATAGTATTTCATACCGTAATGAATTTAACCTGTTAGCTTATTCGATTCGTTACAGAACCGCGGGCTTACTGGTTATGATATAATATCTGAAATTCATTTTAAAAAATTTGCTTAGAGCCCAATTTCTAAACAACAGCAAAACAAAACAAACAAACAAACAAAAAACAAACAAACAAACAAACAAACAAAAAACTGAATCCAGTTACCAATGTCAGCAGCAACTCCATCGTTCAGGATCGCCAGTTGATTCTCAAACACGCCGATTGCCATCATTACTTGTTCCATACCGTCTTGAATCAATAAATGACATTTATCTCCTTTGTGCACATCAAAAAAGCCAATTACATGGGTGAAATTTGAGTGTGCAGTTGTTTTACGCTGAGCTAAGGGTTGAGTGTTTGGCAGAACTGAGTCATCACTACAAGTATCTGCTAATATTTCTTTCTTGTCTGCTGTCATACCCGGAGGAATTATCATGAGCATAAGTAGATACAGATTCCACATGATAGAAGGAACGTTCCTAGTTAATGAAAGATAATTTTTTGAACAACACAAATGAATTTCAGTTCTCCCTAAAAATAAGAAGATTGCTTTTCTTATATGGTTTATATTATGACAAATTTAATCCGAGAAAATAAGTACAGACTCTCAGTTAAAGGTCTTGTCGGTTAAATGTTCTGTTGGCTAAATATCCTGCCGTCTAAATCTCCGAGTTGGTTAAATGCCTTTGGGATACAAATGGCGGTTGGGATACAAATATACTTGAAGACTTAGGGAAAGAGTTTCATTCGGGGATTGATGATTTGTCACTTTTATCCAGTATTAGAATTCCAAGCGCTTTAGATATATATGGAAATGAAAGTCTTAGTCTTCATACGTTCTGCGACGCAAGTAAACAAGCCTATGGATGTGTGATTTATTTCAGAAAAGAAACAAGTGAAAATGTATCGGTGTATTTTCTTCTAGCTAAAAGCAGAGTGAGTCCATTAAGAAAAATGACCATAAATCGTCTAGAATTATTATCCTGCTGTATAGGAGTCAGACTTGCAGCTCTTGCTTTACAAACACTGAAATTAGACAACGTTCCAAGGAACTATTGGACTGATTCGAGCACTGCTCTTTCTTGGATCTAAAGAGATGACCATTGGGCGCCATTTGTCGCAAATAGAGTAAAAGAGATACGAAAATTGTCATCGGAATCTGAATGGCGTCACATTCCAGGAAATTCGAATCCAGCAGATATACCATCACGAGGGTGTTCGATAAAGAGTTTTGTGAAATCTCGCTGGTGGCAAGGGCCAGAATGGCTTATGAAGAACGAGAAAGAGTGGCCAACTAGTGAAGTGATTACTATCGAAGAAGAAATTATGAAAGAAGAGCGAAAGAACATTATTTCGACTTTGGCTAATATCACCGCTGAAAAATGGTATCTGATTTACTTTTCAAGTTACTTTAAAATTGTGAGAATGATTTCTTGGATTCTAAGATTCATAAATAATTGTAGACATGAAGGAAGAAATTATGGCAAAACCCTGAGTGTTGAAGAATTGGAACATTGCTGAGAAGAAATTAGTGAAGATTCGTTCAACAAGAAGCATTCTATAGTCAAGAACAGTTGAAGGAGACACTTTTTACTTTCAGAGATGAAGAAGGGATTATAAGATTGAAAACGAAGATTTTGAAGAAGAAATGACGATGAAAACTTCCGGTGCCCCATTGTACTTCCATCCAAATATGAATTAGTAGAAAGAATGATAGAAGACTACCATTTACAACTTTTACATGCTGGTACTCAAGTTCTTTTGACCAATATTCGTCAAACATTTTGGATAATAAAAGGAAGAAAAACAATACAAAGGAGTCACATCGAAGTGCGTTCGGTGCAAGAGACACTCGGCGAAAGCTCTTGATACAGTACCTTGTCCTCTCCCAGAAGATCGAGTCGGAGATACTTATGCATTTGAGGTGACAGGTGTTGATGTAGCAGGAACACTTTATTTAAAGGAAAATAGAAAAGCTTTTGGATCTTGCTTTTTACCTCGTGGAGTTTTACCGTGCGATTCATTTAGAATTAATTGAAAGCTTATTCGACTAATGGATTTTCTTCCTCGGATTTCGAAGTTTCATAGCACGAAGAGGACGGCCTAGAGTAGTATACAGCGACAATGGCACAAATTTTGTGGGAAGGAATGGGCAAGGAATTTACTCCTGATCTGTTGACTGGAACCTAATTATCAGAAGTTCTTCGACAATGACAATTCAGTGGAAGTTAAATCCACCAACCGCAGCATGGTGGGGCGGCTGGGGGGAGAGACAGGCTCAGATGATCAAGAAATTATTGAGAAGAGTCCTGGGAAAAGCATTACTTTCATATGAAGAAATGTTAACTATCCTATGTGATGCAGAAGTAAATATCAACTCCAGACCATTAACATTACGAGTCAGAAGATTCCACCGATTTATGTGCACTTACTCCATCTATGTTTATTAAGGATGTGCGAACACTGAAGGCGTTCCGAATCTGGACAGTTTGGATAAAATTAACTTATCGAAAAGATGGCGATACCACCAAAAGTTACGTGTAGAATTTCGTAAAAGTTTTAGAGATGAATATCTTGGACTGTTAGTACATTGACCAAAGACCGTACCTTCGCAAACCATCAAGAAAGGTGACTTAGTGTTCGCAGAGGACGCTAGAAGGAAAAGAACAGACTGGCCCATGGGTCGTGTAAACGAAACATACCCAGGAAAAGACAACAACATCAGAGTGGTGAAAGTAAAAACATCTAGTGATGAACTGTTAAGACCAGTTCAAAGAGTATTTCCAATGGAAATAGACAATAAAGAATCAGTCTTCGAGCTTAAAACTACTGAATCATCCACATCTTCGAGAAATACTAGTAAAACGGATGATTTAGTAATTGATACCAAAGACTATGAACTTGAAAATTCTGATAAAAACATTCAGTTTAGTATATATGGTAGAAAAATTGTGAAACCAAAGAACTTTAATTAGTTTAATTTTGTTTTCAGTACCACTATTATTTGATTTCTTTATTCTTTTCTTTGAATTTAAATTTTGTATACAATTTGGTTTTTCCAGTTTAGTGAACTAATCTCTTTAATACTATTATTTGATTTCTTTATTCTTTTCTTTGAATTTAAATTTTGTATACAATTTGGTTTTTCCAGTTTAGTGAACTAATCTCTTTAATAGTATTTTTCAGAAAATTTTTTTTTGCCTGTTGTTTAAAGAATCTAAGTTTGCAGAATATTAAGTAAGTTTAAAATATTCAAGATATTTGTTACGCCTAGATAAAATTGTTAATTTTTGGTAAGATTTAAATTACTCATCTTATATTCTTATTTCAATTTTCATTTCACAATTGTTTTGATTTTTTTTTCATACTTTGTCAAAAATCAAAAGGTGGGAGAAATGTTACAACTCGAAAGCGAAATGAGCGAAAGTTTCGCTTCTGCCAGTGGCAACGAGGAGTCGAAAAACGAACTGGGAAGGCGGCGGTCGCTCACTCGGTTTCTCTTGATAGAATTTGATACGAAGGGGGGATAATCCCCATGTTTTGATTAGAAATTAATCTCGAATTATGCATATATTGTAACATAAAAATGTGTGTAAGTCATTAAGACTTAATTGAAGTAGTGATTTGAATCGAATATAGAAATCGAAAGCTCTCTTAAATAGAACTATGGATTATATAAATAACAGATTATATAAATGTAAAAAATGCATAGATATAAATATATAAAATGTATATATACATATATATAAATATTGTTAAATCACCTATTAAATTGTTTGTTTTTAAAAATAAATGAAGCCACTAATCTTCTGTTTCACACCGACTTCCACTGAAATGCAAGAGTAATGTAAACAAAAATAAATCGCAGGTGCCGTAATATGAGGAAAGAATATAGAAAGGAACTTTTCTTTATGAGTAAAAGTACGTAAGAGCCCGCTTAGAAAGCTTCCACTAGGGTATCTCTTGTTTAACGCAGGTAGCTGTAACGCGCAATGCTGTACTTCACCATAGTGAAACAAATCCAAATCAGAGACACCAAGATAGAGAAAAAGAGATTACTCACGCCCTGTTGAAAGAAATGGGACAGAGAACTTTGAATATTGATTTAATTTAATTATCCAAATAAACTGCTCCAGATTAAGATTTCTAGAATAGAGGCAAATTGTTAATAGCAGTTTTATTTTAATTATAATATGGTTATTTCTCTTTCTTACGTTTAACTATTCTGTGTGTTTCTTACGTTTAACTATTCTTTTAACTATTCTGTGTTTTGAGCTAGTTATGCACGTCGTTCCCGGTAAAACTCCGGTTAATCAGAAATTAATTATAGGTGTATAAATGCATTTTAAAATTCTATATTCTTAAACCTGTCTTTAGTTAAACGCAGCTTTAAAATTTTTGGTTTAATTAAAAACTCTTACTATTAGATAAAAGTTCCCCCTTCCACTCATTATATATAATTTCTTTTGAAAGATTTGAGAGATTCAAGATAAACAAGCTTCAAAAGATGTTTAAGATGTTAAAATTCAAAAGATAAAAAGAAATGTTTGATATTCGAAAGTTCCCAGATATGTTAGAGATTTGAAAGTTTCGAGTTATGTTCGAGATTCGAAAGACTGAATAACCTTTCAGGACTTTTATAGTATGAACTAAATCGCATATAATCTTGTTGATATGAAATTTTTTAACGTTTTCTTCATTGATTCCATAAATAAATTCCAGAATCAAGTTATAAAACAAACATGTGTAAGTAACGCTAATAAAAATTTCATATTTTGATGTTTCAAATAAATTTTTATTATAAAGTGCTTTTACATAAAACTTTTATACATTAATTAAGTTTCTAGATGTTAACACTGCTATAAGCATAATACTTAAAAACTTAATTTACTAAATAAAGAGAGTTATTTATGTAAAATTTAAGTTTATTAAGCTTCTAAATGTCAAATTCTAATGCTACTGTTTTGCCAAATTCTTATTCTAATCGTCTAAGGAGCGCTATTTAAAATGTTCGAAAAACATATAAAATATATTTTAAAATTTTATAAGATAATGAAGACTTTATGGAAAAATTGTTCATGACACTCGCATTGAAAGTACATGTATTTAAATTGGGCAAAAATGCACGCTTTTGTCTTCAAGTCGTCAGACTTGAGGGCAAAGACGGATTTTGCCGGACTTTCAAGGCAAAAGAATCATGATTAATGATTCTCATTAATATCAAAACATGCTTAAAACATTTCTAAATTATAAAATGCAATTTCTTAAATATCAGTTACAGTAATTGATTTGATGTGATACATTAATTACATCAGATTGACAACTTAAATTTAAAATGTTTTACTTCGTTTCTTAAATTAAATAAAAAATAGTATGGCTTTAAGAAATCTTGAATTTGTGTAAATTAGTTTAAATTATAATCTCTGATAAATTTGCTTGAGTTATGCAAATTTTTACCAATGTCTGTATATTTAAATGTTTATGGTATTTAAGTATTCTCCCGTCTATTACTTTCAACAAATAAAAACAGTCGCCAAACAGTGTGATTTAGCGTCTATATAGGTTAAATGTGACGTCAATTGCTTGCTTTGGATTTATGTCACTACGATTAATCCTCTACAAACCAATTTAGTTTTTGTAAAGAAGGGTATAAATTTAACAGCTAATTCTTTGTTCTTACCTCGCAATTTCAAATTAGAGATCAAAATTTTGGATCTGCTTTCTACGGAACAATCCATACTAGAATATTTCAAATGTACTGGATTTCCAGGCGTCAGAAAAATCTCTGTTAAATAGGCACGATTCAGAATTTCTATCTGTTGATTATCTAAGTAATGAGCGATTTTGTGCTTCCAAACTTTCCTCGGGATGACTGGCTGAAGTTTAAGCTATTTGTTGAAGTCTTTTATAAACAATATCCGTTAAGTTCCTAGAATGGAAATACAGAAACGGTACTGTCCATGCGGATCAAATGTTCTTGAATCTTACTTTGATGATCTCAGAATCTAACTATAGATACTAATGACATTCATTACCATGCTAATTGAAAGTATGAAAATATTTTACTTAAAGACTACTTAGTCAGAGATTAGGCTAAATTAGGTTAGGTTATTCGAGGCAAAGAGCACCAGGCCTTTTTGCCTGAAGAGAAGGGTGCTTTCGTTGAAGACTTTCTGAGGAAAACTGGCTCGTATTCACGCCACACATGAAGAAAACACAAAAGCAAACCATGCAGCTACGCCATTCGTCTGGGTTGAACATAAACCAAGTCGAAATAACAGTATTCACTAGTCACTCGACCACCAGATCACTTAATCACTCGACCACCGGTGAGGCAAATGTCTCTATCTTTTATTTATTTATTATGTGCTCTGCCATTAAGCACTACACGATGGAGAGAGATGCCTCGTAGAGAACGTTTTAAGGGAAAATGACTCGTATCCACGTTACACATGGGGAAAACCACGAAAATGCCCATGCAGCCAGCCCGTTCGCCGGGACTCGAATCTCGAACCGAACTACTTATGTTCAACTGCTTTTACCGCTCGGCCGGCTAGTGGACAAATTTTTCAGTCAGTAATATAATTGCCAACTGTATATCATATATGATGGGTATTTAGGCATTCGATTTGTATGTGCTCTTTATATCAGTACTGATGATTTAAGAAAACTTTTTAATTTCCCTAAATGATCGAGTTCAGTTAAATCTACGACAGTCGGAACTAAATTTTATTTTAAGAGCATCATAAATTTTAATTTGCATTTAATCTTCTGTAAATATATAATCTGGATATGTAAATGTTGTACAAACTATGCAGATGACTTTTCTTAAAAATGCATTACATTCTTTCAAAAATATATATATATATATATATATATGTGTGTGTGAATTGACGGCCAAGTAACTTGGCAATTTACTTTCCTGTACCATCGACTTAAAGAATGGAATTTTTTCTCATCTTTCTTAATTTCTCATGAAAAGATTGATTTTCGATAACCTGTATAAGACTATTTCAAAAACACTCTGCAGTTAATAATACGATCAATGAGCTGGAAGAAAACAATTTCATAATCGACACCTTTTCCACACGCAAGTTTCCGTTCTACACTAATAGTAAGAAGTTGTTTTCTATATCTATGTAGTACAAAATTTGAGGTTCATAATTTTCCAGCCTCGTGTTTGGTAATGTTGAGCATAATTCAATATTTCAACGTGACTAAATTACTATACGCTTGCTACCCAGCTACAGAAATATCGAAATTTTTAGAGATGAAGAAAAATTGTGAGTATTTGAACTTTTGTAGAATTAAACAGAATAAATATACGCATAAATAGGCCGGCAAATAGACCGGATAACATTTGTTTGAGTCCTTGATTAATTCCTTTAGTAAAGTTGATTGATGGTTGAAGGTTTCTGTCGTTAAACCAAGACTAAAAATTGTAAAATTTGTTTTAAAATATGGGACATGTAAAAATTTTATTTTAATTAAAATATTTCCGTTTGAATTATCTTTGAGGAGGAATTTCAAAATTTACGTCTGAAACAGATTGAGAAATAGTCGAATGTGGCCAACACACAAACTCCCAATTCCATGTTTCAATTAGCAACGAGTTTTAAGTAAAGTGTCACTTCAGGTTTTATCGTTTGTAAACTAAATCTAATTTATTGTTCCAATAAATAGAATGGAATGTAATAGGAAATGTCAGATTATTTTTTATCAGGTATAATCGGTCATGTATAAAAACTGATTCAACATATATCAACATTATCAATGTTTGCCTCTTTACTTTTTTATTGAAAATTTTATTTTACTGGACTATTGAATAATATATAATTTTATTAACAAATCTAAATTCATTTTGATTTACACTTACATGCCCTTGATATTTAGATACCAGTAAACAATGCTCATTAGTTTTTGGAATTACAGCTGAATAGCATTACAGTGATTTCCAAGATCGGTAAACGTAAAGCAACAGGCATTTCCAAATTTGCTGTTTGCTGTTATGTCTCATCTTCATCTGTAGTGCAAGGGAATAAGTGCATTTTTTGATAACATGTCTGCATTACAAGAGTTTTGAAGTTCTGCAAATGAAACGCTGTCATAAAAATCATTCTATTCTATTTCTTAATATATATAATTATCATTCTTGGATCTAATAAAAATAGCATCAAATTTACATTAAAATGTTATGGTAATTCTATATTTTTCCCCAAAAATTTGTTAAGAATCTTCAGTGACGTTCAAAGTGACAAGAAATTGACTAAAAAAATTTAAAGGTTATTAAAAACAACATTTGAAACGATGTGAATTCCCGCCAGCGGTACTCGGAATGCGTCATAAAATACACAAATTCCCCTTATCAGAAACCAGAAAGAACATTTGAAGTCATGTGAATTCGTTTTTTCAACAGCCATAAACAGCATCTGAAATGTCGTGAATTCACAACAGCGTCTAATAAAGTGTTAATGTTCAGAAATAAAGCAATTCGTCGAAGAAACTAGGATAAATTATTTTAGTTCGTAGTGGTACCAAATGAGGGGAAAATAGCGATCATTTTCTATTACTCATAAATTTATGACTTATTTTCAAAGAAGAATTATATCGACTATTTATATTAACCGAGGCAAATTTTTCAAAGAAGAAATTCCTTAAGAACGTTTGTGTTTCATAGCCCTCTCCCTTTTTAAGCTGTGGTTGTCAAATAATAGACTATTTTCTTCAAATGAGAACTATTTTTATTATCTAATTTATCATAATTAGATTAAGTTTAATATACCTAATTATTGGCTATTTTGGATTATGTGCAGTTTTATTGTCAGTTTTGCTCTTGCAGTCTTTTCCTGTTCACTGTAATTTTGTATAACTTTCCAAATTCAAAGCTTCTCCTCTGATTCATAATATTAAAAAAAATATTTTATAAAGCACTGCAAAAATGAAAATGCAAAACACACAACTATTAGTCTCTATTACTTGGCCGCAGCTAAACAACTGGTGTTTAATTTCGACACTTAGCCGAAAAAAAAAAAAAAAGAATCTGACATTAATGAACGGAGGAGATTTTCCGTTTTGAATATCAAAGAAGAACTACTTGAAACTACTTGGCCTATATATTCCTGTTTCAAATATGAAACAGTTTGAGAAGAAAAAAAAATGAATCAACTGTTCAAGCTCCAGACCTTCTTTACAGAAGTGTTTAAAACTGATGAGGATCTCCAAATATTTAAGATCAGAACTCTTTCTTCTCTACGGGTCAGAGTTCGTAAATTCAAGGAAGGAAAACGTTCCAGGATTTGTTTTCGATGTCAAAGATTTTGACACGTCCAGCTCGTTTGTTTCAACGAACCCAGATGCTTGAAATGTAGTTTATTGCATTTAACTTACACATGTACGCTTTCCAATGAGAAGAGAGCTACGTGCTTTAGCTGCCACTAGGGACCGACCACTCATGCAATTCTACGAAATGCCTGCTTTACCGCAAAAACTCCAAATACGGACACTGTTGCGTGCGTATGTGTTCGTAATGAATTGAGTGCGATGATAGGTTGGTAAAATTTAGTTTTCCAAAAGAAACAGTTTACATTTTTGGAACTTTCCACAAAGGTATTCTTGCAGCTGTTCTCAGTATAACAGAGCAGGATTAATAAATAGCACTTCAAACTACTAATAAAGTTAAAAACACGATGCATCCAAAGAGCGAATTTTGTACGCTCTCTCAATACTCCGAAATCAGCTCTGAACTGAGAGCTTATGCTCTCTCCAGTCTTATATACTAGTTTTCCTCCGACTGCCGAGAAATCTCTGGTACTTTCATTCTCGAAATTACTGGAAGGCAGATATAGACAAACAGACAGGCAAAGAAGACAGATGTCTTGCTTTGCTCCCGCTAAGTCTTTTTGCCCGCAGAGCGAAAAATCGAACTTAGGAAGGCAGATACACTTAAAGTTACATATAAGGACTGGATACGGTTACAGTTACATATAAAGACCAATTACAGTCATTCAGTTACAGTACTAATTACCGTTATAGGGGACCGAATCAAAGTATCGCCAAGGCGAATGACAAAAATTAAACATCAAAACTATTATTATATAATACATTATACAAAAGATCTCTTTCTCTCTACTAAGAGTTAGAAATAGTAGTCTTCTACTAAGAGTTGCAAAAGGTACCATAATTTCACATAATTTTCATTAAAATGTTTTACATATATATAAAATTCATAACAATATACATGAATTTCATTGTTGAATGGAGTTCTTGAAACCACTTGAAATATTTGTTTAACATATCATTTACATCTAAAAAGCTGGAGTATTAACTGATAATATTTACGACTTTGATTTTTTTCTTCAAATCTAGATAATTTTTAAACTTATTAGAAGAACCAGTCCTTTCGAATTAAAGTTATTTTTGTATTCAAGTTTTAGTGTTGCTCTTGCAACTGGAAACTAAAGTTAAATCCTGCAAGTCCTCCTAGACAAGATTGCGAGTTATCATGGCGTCTTAAATAGTCACAAAATGCTGAAGAAGATTTAAAATAACCTTTTTTTTATGTTCATCTAATTTGAATAAAAGGTACAACTTTCGTTAAAGGCAAAACCACCAGTCGTTGCTATTAAGCAATACCAGACAAGTAAATTGAGGTGCTGATAACGTAGTCTAAGACTATACATGCAATAGAATAAGAAATAAGCTGGCTCAAAGTGTATTTTACTGGCGCACAAGTTTTAAATATCGGTTAGCAAGGATGCCAAACCCGGAATATCATTTTGACACAGAGCTGGCAAAATTTACAATAGCCTTGACTGCCAGAAGCTCTCTTTCTCTCTACTAAGAGTTAGAAACCTCAGCTTAGAGACACGCAAAGGTAATTTGCATTCTGGTGAGGAATACGAAAAGGAGAAGTTAAAGTAAAGATAAAAATTATACTAGGTTAATTAACATCAGATATTTTACAAACTCGCTAATGAATCTTGCATCAATTATTTTAACTTAAAACAACTAGGATTTTCTAAATTTCAGTATTTTTAAAATTCTATTAAAATTTTAAACGTTTAGCAATAGAAAACTAGAAATACTTCGGATGAACAATTTTTTTATTCTAAAGTCTGTCAGTTTATCATGTATTACAAGAACGCAAGCAAATTAAAAAAAATTAAAGATGGGGGAGGTACAGAGGTTACCATAAATTTACATTACTCTGACAATAATTTTAGCAAACTCATTTTAAGAAGAATCCGAAACAAGGCATTTTAAGACTTAAGGCATTTTAAGACTGATTAGTAAGCTGATTTGTGAAGCTATCGTTTTGACAGATAAAAAGCAAAATTAAAATTTAATTACTACATGTAACTCACAAACTTTAACACTGTTTTATCCCCTTTTTATTGGAAATTCATAAATTCCATACCTGTTTTTAAAGTGCGTATTATGTCAACATAATGCATGTTATGTGTGATAAACTGCGTTTTGTAAGATATCTGTGTTATGTCTCTTCTGGATAGGATGGTGTTATATCCAAAAAAGAAAAATGAACAATATAAAAATGTTTTTAATGATCTTCTATAGCTGCAAATTGTTTCCTAAGTGCGTGTCTGTCTCTTAAAACAGAAAATAAGACGAACAGGAAGCCAACCCCGCCCACAAAACTCCTAACCTCTACCCATAAAGCTGACCCATTGCTTCTAAATGACAAGTAACTACTGCTGTATGAACGAGAACTAATATTCGTTCTTATCCTTTTTATATGCAAGACTAGGAGCTAGAACTCCGTTGTCACGGTAACCAGACCACAACACTAGGACTCATTTTGATCTCTAGAGAGGAAATGGCACCTGAAGGCCCTTCTCTTAACTTTTCTCTTAAAACTTTCCAACTACATGCTAAGAAATTATTACTAAGTAATTTTAAAAGTAAACGAATATTTTTGTTACTATTCAGAGTACAATGAAAACTGTTATTGTTCTTTTAACCTAATTAACTATTTGAAATCCAATTAAACAGTTGCACATAATTAATACAATTGAAAGAATTATGTGGGCTGTACAGATTTAAAGTTGCGGCATAAAATGTTTTTAAGTATTTTAAATTTCAAACCAAAATAAGAAAGAATCTACATATTTCGATTTTGTAAGCATTTTGATCATTCAAAGCCTTTTTATACATCTCACTGATGATCAGAATACAATATGACCTTGAATTTTAATTATTTATTTTAATAAAGGACAAATCAATGCTACGATTAAAAGGGAGTGTGTGTCCAGAATGATATGATCCCTTAAAAAATTAAAAAAAAGAGTATTATTTAATAGACCGAACAAGGAAGTCATGTGGTGTCCACATCACATTTTACGTTCCTACACATAGTTATTTAAAAACTTAAGTTTCTTGGGAGCACCCCCCTGATCAGAGAGGGAGGGGGTAAACCTCGAAGATAAACATTAATTAGATATTTATATGAGTTCCTCTAATGTTTCTCTCTCTATATATATATTAGGATACTCTCGAAACACAGTAAAACTGAAGCAAAATTACTATCTCAAAAAACAAAACTCATAATTTAGTACAGCAGCCTTGCGTATTAATAACTCCAATTTTTCTTGAAAATTCCATGAAGGTATATTTGCATGGGAGCCAAACAGACTTGCCTGTTTGATATAATAAATAGCATACCTGTTTACTATTAGTGTACTCTTTTATAACAAGTCAAATTAATGCAAAACTTTTCGGTCTATAAACCTATAAGATATTTCTCCTGCCTTCTTAGCGTGCCTTCGTGCTGCAGTGGTCTGCTCGCTGAGCTCTTATTCCTACGTACGTAGGTTCGTGGTTCGATTCCAGGCGAGGGCGTTGCTCATTTTTCATCACTCCTGCTTCGAACTTACCTAATGACTCTAGAAACTAACAAGCGTATTTGACTTTGATTATAATTAAGATATAATCAACAAGTGATTAAGATATAATCGCTAAAGAGTTGTTGAAACTATATTTTGTAAAACTGCAGCAACACAATTCGTTTATTATTTACAGCTCTTGAAATGTTAACAAAATGATACTGATGTCGAGTAAGTATATGTACAAG